AGAGAGACAAACTTAATTCCAATGGAAACGGTTGACATTGGAAAATTGTTTGAAAGTCTCCAATGCAATATTGCAACCAAAATAACAGAAATAAACAAACGAGAGAGAGAAAGAGAGAGCAAAAAAAAACAAACAAACAAATGAAATCCAAAACGGAACATGTGCATGACTTTTCCCGTTTGTACATCGACAATTTTATTTATGAAATCGTATTGTATGTGCTTCAGAGTACTTTTTCACATTTTGCATATTTTACCCGTTGAAAATCCAGGGTCTCCATTTAATTGACCAAGTGCATTTTGTACATTTACCACAGATACTTTTCCGTATGTTGTGCAACATCGCAATCCGGATATTGTGTGTGCACATAAAATTTGGTATTGCGACCGTAAGTGTAGTGTACATTTGGTTAAAATGTGCGCACCGTGTATATTGTAAATCCAATTTTCCAAGTAAAACCAAATCTAGAACAATCAACAATGCGACTAGATTATCAGTTCTTAAATGTAAAATGTGATTCTCATCTGAATTTCTTTCTTCTTTTAAATGTTGACCAGACATTTGGTCCATTGATTTCCCATTTCCGGTGTGGGTTTTTTTCGAAGAAAATTTATCTAAAAATTTTCCTTTCTTTGTAGCTTTCCTTTCAAAGATCAATCGTTCATCTATGTTTGAATTTCAAAAATTCATCAGTCATCACACATTGCATTTGCGCGATTGAAGTTTACATATCAAACAAATGCAACACAACGAATGAGAGTGTGAATGAAAAGGTTGAAGAGTCAAGACAAATAGTTGTGAGACCATAGCAGCTGTTGCAGCACTTAATCGTTATACTCCCCTGTCACACTGCTAAATAAACTAAATCGCAAGGAAAATATTCTGAAAAAGAGTGAAAAACCTCTTGAGTATGTGCCACTTTTGCCATAGATTTTTCAATAGAGCCAATGATAACATTAAATTCTGGAATAAATTTAATAACGACAATCTAAGCATAACGGTTCAATTCAACGAATTGATAAAAAAGAAAAAGTACAAACACATACACAAATGCGACGATGTGAAAGTATCCGCAAAGTTCTGTTGTGATTTTCACGAGATTCATTTGAAGTGGAAAAAGCCGTTCTTTTGCAAAATAATTTTTGTAAAATGGATTATGTATGAGGTGCATGTGCCGCAACGCAATCCAATTCAGCTATGGATTTGATTAATATGGCATAAAATTTAAAAGCATTGACATTTGATTCGGATCAATAAATCCAACTTACTGAAATCGATATGAATACTTTTTCAATATTAACTGATGCCAAGAAAGTGGCTAGCGTACAATCATCGAAATAAAAACTATTTTTCCCACACTCATACAAGCCATTCACGATACACATATTGACAACTAAAAACTGCAAAACTCGTTCCGTCTGATTATTTAGTTGTTTTTCGTGTCATTTGCAATTTGGCAATGAATTCAATTTCAGTGTTAATTTATAAATTAGATGGCAAAAATATCATAAACATTCTATTTTTAACATGGTACGAACACTAATTGACTGAGAATTTGGTTGAGCATTGTGCCGATTTTATCTGTATACGCCATTAATTTGATGACATTTAGTGTACTGCATCAAAGAAACAACCAAATTTTGTCTGCCACATATAAATATATATACAAACACAAATACAATTGCGCGCACGGTACACAAATATTTGCGACATCAACCGTTCGGCAAAAGTCAATTTTCAAAATTATATATGCGAAAACACGCTACGAAAATATTGAATATATTTGTTTGCCATTGAATGCAGCGATTGCCATGGATATATTGCACATCCTGATTGTGTATAATGAAATTATTGCAAACAAATGTCATACGAGCGATTTTCTGTCGTTTGTTCGCATTTATTCGTTTATTCGGGTTTTTACAACAAAATGAACGGCATTTTCGTTCGTCTAGTGCTTGAATGTTTTGGTTTTTCTCCCATTTTATCTTCAAAATTGTCGAGTCGTTGATTGTAAACAAGAATTATGTACGTGCGTAAGTAAGCACAGCATAGAAGTAGAGACAGAGACAGAGACAGACAGACAGACACACACACAGAGAGAGAGAGAGAGAGAGAGAGAGAGATGTTTCAATTTCGGCGTCTTGAACTAATTGGCAAATTGCCTTGTGAGCGGAAAATATAGTGTTCAAAATGAATGTGAGCATAACGTAAACATATTTAATGTGTACTGTTGCGTTGCATTTCGTATTCGGTGCTGTGTTCCGTTTTTCCCCGTGCGACAAACAACCAGCTACACACACCTGATTTAAATCTACATAATAAATGTAGATTCGCCGAGTGGTACAAGAAAGCGCAATCTATTCATCGCAATATCAATGAATTTTACAGAGATTTGCTTTTTTGTTTGGGCTTTTTGTGCTGGTTGTGTGCTTACACTGCCAGATGGTCGGTTTGTTGTTCTACGATGGTTTACTTTTTTTTTTGCATTTTTGGTCCCAGGCCGGTACACATAGAGAGGGAAAGAGCGAGCAACTCACGATAATGTTGTAATCACAGACTTTGTTGGATGCAAACTTTATATTTGTTGTCATTTCATTTTCGAAAAACGTGTACACAAGCACCGATTCACGGTATGTTAACGGTGGCCAGTTGTTGCAAACTCTGTACATATTTGTATGTTATTTTTGGTTGTCGCCATTTTTTGGGAAGATCGCTTTATTGAGGTAAATTTTTATTACCAATTTCTCATTCTCTGTATCTGTCTCTTTCGTTTTAGCTTTTGTTGATCTAACTTTTACACACAATTCAATGCACATACCATTTGCGATTGGATCGTTTATTTTGTGATTTTGCCAAAAGCAAATTCCTTTATAAAATTTATTTTTTTAAAACCAAAAACAAAAAACACAATATTACAAATTTAATTCACCAAGGTATCAATGTAAAAGGATATTCGACGTAGTACGTACGGTAAACACTTGAATTATCGAATACCGTAACGAAAGCTTAGAGGAAGTGCGCGTCATCGTTCTCATTGCTTGTGTTGTTTTTTGTTGGTCAAGGCATGCATGTTAGTTCTATGGTGGTGGTATGTATTCGTTGCTTCTCGTATAGGTGACGAGCCAATTCGTTGGACTCAACAAAATCCAAACACTGTTACTTGGTATCCATTTACTCAACCTATATACAAACACAATGGTTTTGTGATTGAAAGTTGAACTATGTTTTAACTGTAAAATGCGTGATACTCAGTCAACGTCATGTCATCGCAAAAAGCATGGCACATGAACAAAACTCATTCAAATATGTTGACTGTTTAATTTGCCCTAATTCCTGATACTTAATTCTGTGCTCTTTTGGGACTACCTTGATACCATGACGAGAGAAAGCGAGAAAGCGAGAGAGACAAAGAGAGAGAACTAAAGAATTAGAGAGAACGAGAGAAACCAAAAAACATAATGCCCAACACACCATTGCACACGAAAAACAACCAATCCAAAGAGTGTGTCCATGTTTGAAGTTGACTTTTTCCTATAATTATATTCTAAAACAAACACATCACCGTCGTAATGATTTCCCTAGGAAAATAACTTGCAAATTAGCCAAAGTTTTTAACTTATTTATCAAAAAGTGTGAAATACACAAGCAAATACATTTTGCAAAAACAAATGCTCACTACTACCTCTTATGTTGTCGTTCTAAAATATCTCTGTTCTATGCTCATTCATTGACATTCAATGGAAATTACTATTTCGTGTCTTGCGCTTTAATTTTATTATTATTAAAATAGCTAATGGAGTGAAAAAGCTTTTTACGATTGATACTACCATAATAAAGTATTCATAATGTAGTGTGCAAATTGATGGAAAACACACATGACATGAGTTTGTATTTAACGACGACAATAGAAGACAAAGTCAAAGTATCATTATTTATCAATCGATTTTGAATGCATTAATTTTTAATGTGGTGCATTAAAAAGAACCTAGAGGTAACACATACCAATCAAAATTATTGCACAAGTATCACATCATTGTATTAATCATTGGTTGATGATGCCATCGAAAAATTATTCAATCGAAGGAAGGTAAACCATCCAAAATGATGATTTGATCGTCTTTACATTTCTTCATTCAATGAGAACGAAGAGAGAGAAAGAGAGAAAAAAATCGAAAAAAATCTTTATTATTCAATTAAATTGAACAGCTATTTTAGTATAGTGTCAATCAACATATTCGATTGAATTCAAACAAACTCGTTTCACCATGAATTATAAATGAATCAATGAAGACAAAAAATAAATAAATGATAATTCACACAAGTGTCGCTTTGATTCGATTTATGACAGACACTTTGGTTCCATAGTTCATCCATAATTATTTCAATTACAATATTCATTACACATACAACTGCCACACAGACACACACGATTACCATAGAAAATGTTTAAAAAAGAAATATTGATTCATTTGATAACTGCCAGCTGAAATGGTCGGAAATATGTATATAATGATTAAAAAGAGCGAAAGAAAAACTAACGCCTCATAATTTATGGTTTTGTATTTCTATATAAAAAAATCATCAAAATTAGGTTACGTTCTGAAATTATAAAAATTCATTTTTCAAAACGCAAACCAATACTACACTATGTGTGTATGTTGCCATTGTTGCCGTCACCATAATATATCAGCCGACAGACAACGGCAATAATCTAATATGACAAATTATATTGAAATGAAAGAAATGAGAAATAGAAAGCGGGAGAGAAGGAGAGAATAGAGCAAACAAAACAACATTGCCATATCGACTTTAAACGAATCGATTATTTTGAATCGAGCTATATAACGCTACAATGTGCATGCTAAAAATTACTTTGTATGCATCTGTTTGGCTATGTGTATGTGTGTGCGTTTCGATTTTTTTAGTATTCGTTCATGTTTATTGGTCCTTTCTGCCTTTTCAATTTCGTTTTTTTTTCTACTTCTTCCCCAATGTTTTAGGTTCTGTAAGTCGGTCAACAACTACAAATTATAATTGAAATAAGTGCTTGCATATATATGTTAGAAGACGGCACGACGCCACATTCAAAATCATCGACGTCATCGTGTCAATCGTTTTCAACTTTAAAACAAAAAAAAAACACGAAGATCACGATAGCAATTTATATATATATATATATATAAATATGAAGTGAAATCGTCTTAAATTTACCGAAATTGCGCGCGCAATTCATTTTCTTAAAAATAGAAAATTCACAACCACAAACGCGATTTTACACTATTCTGCAACGTACATTGACGAATGTGCAACAACGGCAGCAGTAGCGGCAGCAGCAAATCAAAATATATATATCAATATATTGTATCGATGTAAAAAAAAAAACCGAATCGTGTTATATTTATTCTGGATGCAGTTCAATTTGATTGTACAAATCGAATTCAATTGATTGGTGGCTGGTTGTTTGAAGGCAAGGGAAAAAGGAAATTGAAAACGGAAAGTGACACACTGTGTAAGTTAGTTGAAAACCAATTCGATAGAAGGCGGCTGAACACGACAGCAGTTCAAAAGCCATTACGGAAACCGGAACAAAAGGTAATTTTACTTTTCTCTTTCTCTCTCTATTTTCCGTATTTAAAAATGATTCGAATCGCAAAACTAAATTAATCGAAAAGTCATGTATGATGACAGATTTTGTATTTTTTTTATTGATATTACGTCCATACTTAAGTATCCAATTCCAATTACAGATGTCATAATATGGGCTTTGCGTGCAAATGGGTGCGTCAAAAAACTCAACGAGACTGCAACCAAGTGAAAAAGCCAAAGCAAAACAAAGACCATCACCAACAAATCGAACTAATCAAAAATAGCGTTGATCGTTCAATAAATTCGGTGGTATTGCGTAAATCAAGCCGGCGACGACAACGTGACAAAGATCGATACGCATGGCAAACAATCAACGAAATAACAACAGTGACACAAAATAGCAATAGCAATACGAAAACAATTCGAAATTTGGTAACAAGAGATGACGAAGATGATATTGATATTACATTTGAAAAACTGGACGATGAAAAAATGGCTAACAGTTGCACAATTGCAAAATCGATTCCATCAAACCGACGTCGTTCGCTAACACCCTATTTGGAACAAACGAAATGCGAAATGGATTCGAATGAATTCAAAATGTGTTCAACGACAATGGGTGCCGCCGACCACCAAATTGTGTGCCGTTGCAAATGTGAAACTATGTCAAAATTACGCGCATTGTTTGCTGCTCCGCTTTGGTTTGCCGGCAGCAATTCAATTTCGCGTTTCATTCATATGATTAATTTTAAACGAAAAAATAATGCAAATAATAATAATAATAATGATCAACAACAACAACATCATCATCACATTTTTACGTTGCCTCCGTCACAACACACCGAACAACTCGAAACCATTGCACCCACCAAAATAAAAACAAATTACAATAATAATAAAAACCAAATTAAAACACAACATGGAAGACGACGACGCAGCATCAACAACAGCGCCAACAATATGAATGACAGTGTGCACAATAAATGCGATCGAATTAAAAGTATTTATAATAAAGGTCATAATAATAGAAGTATTTTAACGAGTAGCCAGTGTTTTATACGACAATCAGTTTGTTTATATGCGGCATCAGGTTTTCTAATTGCATTATGCTTTTTGGCGATACCAGCAGCAGCATCAATAGATTCATTGCATCCAATGTAAGTAACTCGTATTTGATTTGTGGCTTTGTTTTTCATTTCGTTTTTTTTTTTGAGGGAGGATCAAATCCTATCACCTTTGCTTTAACGCTTATTTCGTTTTATGTTATATACATTGTGTCATGGTAGTGATATTGATTCACGTGCATCTTCTTATTGGAATTAATTCCATGTAAGTTGACGACAACAACAAACAATACGAAACTGTTTTGAATGACAATATCAATCATGATCCATGAGTCAAATATTAGTTTTGGTTATTTAATGTCATTTTCAATTAACCGCACGCTCAATTCAAAATCAATAGATTTGCATGTGTCACCCCATCCATGGCAAAGTAACCGAATTTCATTATTTACCCACTGAACCATGACAAGCCATGGCTTGTCATGACAAGATATATACCCCTTTTCCCACGCTTCAATCATCGTTAAGATATTTGTTATTCCGAACGACAGTGGCATTCATGCGAAGTGAATTTAACCATAAATGCTCTATTCGAAAAATCGAAAAGAAAATATTATTTACAGCGAACAGATTTTTTTTTGTTTATTTCTACAAAATATAAGTGATTTGTGATTGAACGAGACACGAAAGCTTCATTCACAAAGGAAATATCAGCGATGTCAAAAAATAAAACAAAATAAAAATAAAGTGATCTATTTAGCACAAATAAATAGAATTCCTGCATAACAAGTGAAAATATTCGTGCTCCAAAATGTCTATAAGTTCTATCGGCTCATTTTGAAGAACCATCGTCGACTTTCCATCATGGCAAGGAAGTTCATTTTCAAAGCAATTGAAACAAACAAACGCACACACACAGAGAAAGACACACACAAACAAAAGGAATAAAAATAAAACCATTTGCAAGCCATAGAACAATGAAAATTAAGCAACGGTTAAATATAAATGTTATTTATTTTTGATTGAAAGCGAAAGTAAATGTTGTAAGAAACATTGAATCAAAATAGTAATTTGGGTACACTTGGCTCTACCTAGACCTACATAACCAAATGAAATTTTTGTCAAGCGCATTTTTCGCTATATATTTTCTTTTTCGTCGTCGTTCGCTTTTTACGTTATTTTTTCGTTTGTTTTATCCTTGAAAAATTCACTTTTCACATAAACTTTATTGCTGTGAATATAAAGGAAATGCTGTTTGTGCAATGCACTTCGTTCGTTTGCTTCTTGAGCTCATTGGCACACGAACACACATAAATAATTGTATAAAAACATAGTCTCAGTTGTTGTCGATGACAATTATTCCGGTTGTATTGCACATGAGAACATTTCTAGTGACCGCCATACAAACCACTCACACAGGGCCACTTGGCGTCGAAAAATCAGTTAACGCTCTCGATGCACGTAAGGAAATTAGCAACTATGTTAAAAGAATCCAGCAACTAAGAGACTAACAAACGCGCAAACAACAACAAAAAAATCAGATATTTTCAACAGCTGATCGTGCCAGGAATTCGCATTCGCCTTCATAAGCAAAAGTATTTTATCGCATGTTTAAGCCATTTGTTGAACACCTTACTGCCGAAAAATCACACACAAACACAAACGTCTGTGTATGTGTATGTATATATCTTGTGTGTAATGGCAAAACATGTATACGCAAATTTTCATCGCATATATAATTATGCCAAAGAGCATGACGAAAAAAACATACTTTAAATAATGCAAGCGAGACGCTAAAAAAAAAACAACATTAAAAATGTCAACAACGAAATGCCCGAAAAAACGAGTCTAATGACGAAAACGTTGTCGGTTCGGAAAGCAATATTATTATCGAGCGTCATACTTATGCTTTATACACATATTTAAAAATCAATTATAGCGCTCTTACACACTTTCGTGATATTGAACGACTGCGTCTGTGAATATATATAATTTTTGTGCCACTTTCGATTTATATTTCGTTTTCGTTGGGAAAAGAAATTGTAGCGCGAGCGCTTAGTTACTTGGCTTGTTTTGTTTGTTACCAAATCAACTAGAATCCATTTGCATATATCTTAACCTTGCTATTCAATATAAGTTATCGCACGCCGTCATCATTTTCTGCTGTTTTTTTCTTCTTCTTCGTTTCGTTTCTCTATAAATTCTTGTTTTGTTTCGATCGCGAAAACAACTTGAACAAAATTTCAATGTTTTCGACTAGATCTAGATGGTAACCGCGGCTATTTGTGTATTCGTGTAGGTCACCATTTACATTAATAGGCGCTATTCTGTGCAACTTAAACTCACTTTTATGCACAATGTCATGAATTCCCCTCATTATAAAAAAGCGATTAAATTCAAATAGGAAAGTGAATTTAAACTGAGAACAAAAAATAAAATGTAACAACAAACAATTATATCGCTTTTGCAAAAGTTCTTATGCATTTTTATTATTTTATTCAGCATGGCAACACTGAAAAGATTACCCCCTCTATTCAATTTACATTTATATCCTTTTGTCATGACATTTTTTCTTTATTAATTTAATTGACATTTTCTATTTTTCATTGGGCTGATTTGCATTTGTACAAATGGAATTTACATTTTAAAATGCTATTTAAATATTATATGTTTTTTATTGCTGACATATGACATATTCGTAAAATGCAATTTAATCGACAACAAATTGAATAAATATGTTTTAAAAATGTCTTTCTCTCTTCAATTTATCTCTATATATGTTCTGATGCTTTTTCTTCTCTTCTTTATTTTTTGCTCCGTCCATATTGTCGACATTTGTTCGTGCCACCCATCTGGTAATTGGAATCGATCTTGATTTGGGCTTTTAAAAATGGAATGCAAACAGATTTGCCGAAGGAAAATCCGATAAGGAAATATTAGATCATCTGTTAAAAAATTCACGTTACGATAAAAGACTTTTACCTCCAGTTGATGGTAAGTTTTATATATCTGTTCGTCGAGTTAAATCAATAAGGCAATATATTCTCGTTTTTTTATTTTATTTACAATTTTGTGTATGTGTCTCTCGTATGTATGCATTCAGTTGTTGATAGCTTGTCGCTGATTTCGCATAGTTTTTCGTAGCTTCGCTCTCTTTCTATCTTTCTTTCTCTTTTTTCTCTCGCTCTCTCTCTCTCACATTATTCCACGTCACATTTTCCCTTTATTTTTGAATCTCGATGTATGTGCCAAGTTCAAAAATATTGGCGGAAACAAAAAATCTTCAAATATATGTTCTGTTAGATATGAGAAAGAAAAGCACAAGCTAAAGCTCAAACGCACCACTAAAATTAATTTGAGTTTATTTACTTTGGGGTTATTTGCTTACGAGACATTTTCTGTAGTCAAATTATTAGAGCCAAGCATACGTTGTCGCGGCAGACATAACTCCCTTTTTAGTGCTGATAAATTTATAAATCAAATCTCTTGTACTTAATTCCAGACCTGCAGTTTTAGTTTTTTTACGACCCAAAACGTAAAAGAAACATTAAACGCGAATAGGCATTTTTTAAGAACCGAAAAATAAACACATATACCACTGAAATATTGTGAGCGAGCAGATTGTTCTTTTTTACCTAATTTTATCAAACTTTTTGTTTTCTTTCATTTGGTTGATGGTACAAAGCTTTTCGAATGGAACTTAGAGTTGCCTTCAATTGAAATTTCGTGTGCACAACGGTCTAAGCTTAAAAAGTTGCAAAGTCGTTATTCATTTGTGAACGAAATAATTCGAAATGGCCAAAGTTGCATGAGCATTACTTGAAAGAATACAGATCGACTCATATAATTATGGTTTATTTGTCTTACTTTATTCTCGGTCTGACAAAGCTTAAAGTTGTTCCATCCGCCAATCTATTTATCTCAGTTAATTTCTCACCGAACACGTGGGGCCACTCTTGACTTTCGGTAAAATTAATTATACCATGTTGTGCATACAAACAAACACACACATATACACCGTATACACTGGCATCTTTCAAAACTTCGTGCAAAAACAAACTAAACGGTTTTTTTTTGTTTCAGAAAACTAGCAGCATATTTACAGCTATATATAAATTTGAATTATGGAGTAATTGTATCTTTTGCTTGGATTTTGCAAATAATGTCTCAATTTCTCTCTCTCTCGCTATTTCTTAAGAACAATTGTTCGCTTCATGCAGCCACCATTATATTCAGATAGCTCATAGCTTATGCTTTATGCTGCGCTTATTTATTCTTACACATTTCTTAATCCAACTATGCTTTATACATCTATTTACTGAAAATGTAAAAAAATATCATCAAGTTTTGCATGTAAATTTATTTCAACTTCTTCTTTTTTTAATTCTCTCATGCCATTCAATTTGTTCCATGTAATTTGCAAAACATAATTTTCACAGATTTTACTTCGCTAGTACTCTCAGAAAACTCAGATGTTAAAATTCAAAGTAATCAGAGGAAAATGCCATTTTAACATGGAGAAATTTTGTCACATGGTAAAATGTCATTTTACCCGCAACAAATTTCTTTGTGGGTAAAATGGCATTTTAACATGTGAAAAAATTCCCTCGTATTAAAATGGCATTTTGTCGTCATTTTAACATGGAGATATTTTGTCACATGTTAAAATGCCATTTTACCCACAAAGAAATTTGTTGCAGGCAAAATGGCATTTTACCATGTGACAAAATTTCTCCATGTTAAAATGGCATTTTCCTCTGATTACTTTGAATTTTAACATCTGAGTTTTCTGAGAGTAGACATTTCCAAGTGCATTACATTTCTTACCCTCTACGTCTAACCCACGCGGGATATAATTGTTCTTCTACGGCTCGGTTTTGCTATTTCGGTTGAATACACATATAAAGACATGGAATATATATATGTTTACATCTATCTATTGACGGTTTATCGTGCGTGTGTGTGTGTGATGTATGTGTGGACGCGCCACATCGATTAGTTAGTGGTTGTATTTGTACCACTATAATATTTTTAGTATCGCGTCAGGGAATAAGTCATAAAAATCAATATAATTGCGTGCCACTGGCATTTTTATGGACATAAATGAAGTAATACACTGGAAAAAATGAAGAAAAAAACCAGCAACAATAACAATACGAACAGAAAGAATAGTAACACACTCGCACACAACATGAACAAAAAATAATACACAGAAATATGGAGCTCATGAGCAATGAGCCATAGGTTCGTGGGCATGTGAAAATGTGTGTGCGCCTATTTAACAAAGAATGAATAAGCGTGCTTTGGTGCGCTCGTACACATTGTGATGTTTTTTTATGCATATTCTGAGAACTTTTCGGTTTTTCTTTTCGCTTTTTTTTATGTACAACTAAACACGATAAAAAAAATTGCTTAATTTTAACCGCAAAAAAGTGCAACTATATTAAAATAATGACGTGCTTTTCAAAGAAAGCTTTGAAGTAGTTCTCCTAATGTTAACACTGCTACATACAGATTTTGTGTGCATATTTATGGTTTAGTCAACATGGAAGCAGACAGAATGTGGCAGAAATAATAATATCATCAGCAACAACAAAAAAACAGTTAACTAAACCAAAAACATTGCATGTGATTCGGCTTTTTGCGTTTTTCCCAAATTTCCACTCAATTAATTTTCCTCCATTTCAATTGTAAGGCCGCATAAATATCTCGGCGCACAATTCACAAATATCAATATTTGCTAGTTATTATTTACCATTCATAAAGCCAAACAATTTTCCATTGTTATCTCACTTAATTGGTTCCGTTTGGCCGTAGAAATAAATGGCCACAACACACCGACCAAAAAAATAATTCACACAATAGTGTTGAACATCGATCGTTGTCGAAATTATGCGAATAAATAGAAACAAATCAAGAACATTTCTCTTTTTTTTTTCATTCGTATTTCAAACGTTTTATTTAAATGTTGTTCATTTTTGGGTGGCTTAATGATTCTATAGAATGTGCTTTTGTTCGCTCTCCATTTGCACGAACGAATAAAAGTAATTCGTTTTTGTTTTTTGTTTCTCTCTTCTGTCGGTACAAGAATATACCATTATTGCCATATTTTATATGATTTAAGTGGTGTCCAAACGAATGCTAATTACAATTGCGTTGTTGCACCAATTCCGTTATTGTCCTAAATTTTATTTTATTTAATTACAAATATTTGTAGCGAAATATTCACGAAATATTAGACCTCGCTTTCGACTGCAAGTCGACATGATTTTTTCCCTCAATTTATTCAATCTCTCTCTCTCTCTCACACACATACACACTCATTTTGCCGACCATTTCTTTGCATGAAAGCATGCACGATATATTGTGCATGGGCTGCAAATTAGACTTGTACACCGCAATTCAATTTTTGCTTGTGTTTATTATGTTCATTCCCAAATGTACACAATGTTAAAAAGAGAAGAGCAAATTAATTTCGCCGTTTTCAGTTGAAGTATTGTAATGCCACACATATCCAGCTTGCTTCTTCAGAAATATGTAATTTTCAATGCATACATATACATAGATCTATATTTTAACAGAAAATACATAAACACATAAGCCGAAAATTGACGAAAGATGAATAAAATAGTAAGCATACAATTTAATATTTGTGTTAATGCCATTAATTTGGTTCGTGGATGATGATACACTGACTGTTTGTGATGATAATGGTAAAAAAAAATACAATCTAAAACAATGTAAGTAGCTTATTACTTATCTGTATACGCGCACTAAATGTGTACACACATTTTGTGCAGCAAATTAGACAGCGAATAAATGAAGACATCACATGGAACATGGCAAACGACCGCTTCGTTCGAGTCAGCCAGCAAGAGTTATGCCCAACATTCACGAGTAAATACAAATGAATATTTTAGAACGAAACGAAACGGTTTGCATTTTCTGTCGAAATCGAGATGAAAAATCAACAACAACAAATTTTCTTCATTTCAATCTCATTTTCCACTTAAATAAATTTGAACACTCCCTCTGTCTCTCTCACACAAACACACACATATACTACAACTCAGTTTCATTTCATTGTATGTGTGGGATTGTTGTCGCAGCTATGTGCTCATGTTCAACATTCCTTTCACAAACACAAATAAACAAATCGATGCGATGCGTTCGCAATCACAAAGTGAGATGAAGTGTGGGAGATAGCGGTAGCACGAAAGAGATGCAACGTTCATAGATAAACTATGTGCTGAGTTTCCGATTTCGCCAAAATGCAATGAATCGAATCGCATTTGAATCCACAAAACTGACCGTATAACAACAACAACAGCACAATAACACAGTTGCTTTCGATTCGACATCTTTCTAGTTTTACTTGTCGAAAAGAAGAGAAAAGAGGAGAAAAAAAATGAAAACAACTTGTTACGTAATATGGTCAAAAGTTTTCGATCTATTTTGTACATACAACTTTTCTCATCGATGCGGTCGTTTATGGAAACGAAATTGTAACATTTCATAAAACTCGGAAAGATCATTTACTTTTCCGGATATATTTCAATAAAACTTCGGATGTTCAACATAACTCAACAATGAAACATGAAACATACAAATGATTATAAAATAATAACACAAATTATATCATTACATTAAATGAATCACTCGCTGAGTGAATGAATGACATGTTCATTTTCATCAAATATAAACGCGAACGATGTATGCGTTTCATAAATGTAATTACTTTGTAACAGTAAATTTGGAGTTGAATATATATTGTAATGGTACGCATTTTATGTGATTTAGACATGAAAATAACTTTGGCATACATCTTCAATTTTGATTAGACCCATAAACAATGTTTATTCGAGATGAAAATTACAATACTGCTTCACCGTCACCTCTCCGATCCTCACGTTCCTTTTCCATAATTTTATGGCTTTTAGTTATCATACAAATACATACATTATCAAAAGCCAATTAAATTTCGGAAAATATATGAAATTTGATTGCATTTTCAGTTCAGTTGAAATCGGTTGAAATTCACTGTTTGTCTTCGCTTAGTGTTTTGCATATTTTAATTGAACAAGAAGGAAGAACCAATTAACCAAATTGAAAGTATATCCAATTTCGTGAACAAATTTTATTATATACGTATTATTTGTTATTAATCGGATATATGTGAAAAGCCTTGGATCAATGCAATTTTTCTCGCCCTCTCTCTCTCTCTCTCTCTGTCATGGATTATTTTTCATATCTGTTATTTTAATACGATGCTTGGTTTACCATGAAAACACACACACACATATATATATATATTTTATGGACCTATTTATTAAATAAACATTAATTTTGACTAAAAAATCTTATGTCAATATATTGAGTATACTCGGTATTCCTTTTGTCTCTCTCGTTATAATAACTTATTTCGCATTTATTATTCATCACAGATAAATCAGCAAAATGGTGCATCTTTTTCCTTTTGATTTGAAAAGCTAATGTTTGAATCTGTTCATATTATCAGAGAGAATATATCTTGTGCAAATAATATTTCACGTAAAAATGGCAATTTCAAGATCTTATTTCAGCACATAATGACTCATAATAATACCTACATGTCTTACCATTAGAATGATTTGTTCTTATCCCTTCTGAAAAAATGAGAAGAAAAGAATGAAACATATTTGTTGTGCGACAAAGACGAATTACTTTGTGTGAAACAGATGACAACAACAAAAAAATACAATTGCGAATGAAAATTCAAACACACACACACAAACACACACAAACAAACAAACAAATATTATTTGTGCAATTTCCAATTTTATTTGCAGATGCGGATTTTTGCTGTGGTATGGATACGCCAGAAAAAGCTAAAAATGTATCTGGTTGGCTACCTGGGCGCGCACAGAATCGTGGTGCGTTCCATTTTCCAAATTTACAAAAAAAAAATGAAACCGATTAATTCACCAAATTAACATCACACAGAAAAACTAATTTTTATCAACATTTTTTTTTTCACTTTAACACTCAATCAATGAATACAGACATTCATAGACATACACACTCATACAAACACACATGCATTACATCATTTAAATTCAAGTGCAACACAAAAAATTCATATATGCATACTGGCTGATGCGTAGCTATATTTATTTTAAACAAATAATTTCAATTTATTTTTTCAGACATAAATTGCTTTCTGATTTTTGCTCAATAATTTAATGGCTGATTGATGAGACATGAAAGAGTAAATGTTTGCATATCAACACAATTTTTTTTTAAATTTACGACATTTCAAGCAAGCTAAAGTCGTTTAGTGAGCTTTTTTTCTTTTTTGAACCAAAGAGTGTTTGTCTGCTTGAAAATTACATTTGAAATGTGACTTTTTTATTTTTAATATAATAAAACAATAAGCTCTTCCACTTCTCATCAATGTCATTGTAAAAAAAAATTGAAAGTATTTGCATTTATGCTCTTTGTCCTCCATAACATTCGCATCATGCAAAATGAAAAATTTAATTTTTGGAATTGTAGCTTGAGGTATTTACAATATCTGTATAATGAGCGAACAACGCAGATTAATGTATCTATACATGCAATCGAAAATGGTGGACATTTTTTTTAAATGTATAAAACGAGTAAAAACATAGTGAACATTTCTGGATATATTGTTTTCAGAAAAACACTCATTCAGAAGAGAAATACGCCATGTGAATTATTCGCTTTCCTTTTTTCCGGGTATTTGTTTAATTTGGCATCTATGTTCGGTTTCACTTTTTATGAATTATACTCACGCAAAACAGAGAAACATCCGCAGAGAAACTTAACTGAGCTGTTGATATCCCAAGACAAATGGAATTTTTTTGAAAATGTATTTTGCTAACTATCTACCCTTCTCCCTCACCGTCTCTCACTCTATCTCTATCTCAAGTTGTTTGTTTTAAATGTGTTTTAGTCATTTATCATTCTTTATTTCTTTCTCTCTTTCTCTATATTCTGCCGGAATGCATGAAAAAAAACTTAGGTAAAAACGTATTTTTATGTGACGGGCACAAAAAAAACCAAAAAAAAAAAAAAATCATTTGAATTAGAATTTCATTTCATGTCTAGTGTATGTTATACGGAAAATGTAGTTTCGCACAAAATCATGACATATTAATGTTTGGCAATTTCATTGTTGACTTTTTTTTCGCATGAAATCTCATACAATTTTCCGAGAAGTATACACAGAGAAAACCGGAATTACTTTTATCAACATGCTTTTTATTCACAACGTCAAAGCATAAACACAATTGAGTTTTTTCTACTCAACATCATGCACAGAAATGTTTACACTGACATTTGAAGCAAAAAAGCTCATTCTTACCTTGATAGTTGGAACTTCCACCTAGTAGTGGTAGAAGTATCCTACCAGTATTGAAGCTACGACCTAAGAATGAAACAGTAATTGGTCGTTTTTTGCAATTTTTATTTTGGGAATAAAAATTGTGATTACTACTAGTTCGGGACCTACGAGAAGCAATCCCTGTTATTCAATACAGGAAGTGTTCGATCGCATTCCGAGATTTTGGTATATGAGATTGATATTCATGGCTTTGACGTTTTCAAAAAAATTAGTTAAATCTAAAAAAAAATGTGAATGAAAATAGATTTCAAACATTGGAAGTATCGTATGGTATACGTTGGTGACGATGCGTTAAAAACAAGGTATGTGTCATGATAAAAAAATGATGTGTAAATTCATCTCACACAGACACTGGAGATCACTGTATGTAATACAATTTAGTATACGATACTTGTAATGTTTGAATTTAAAATCGCTTAAAAATGTTGTAAATGTGCATTGACATTGGTAATTGTAATAAATAACATCTAAAATAGTATAAGTCATAGCAATTATAACAAATCATAAACGCACACAGACTATACCTATTCATATATCATTATAATTGCAAATGTGTCATAAACATACAGAATTCAAAAGTGATTTAATGAGCTTTAAAGAGCTTTAGCTTGAACAACGTGTTTATATATTAGATTTTATAAGATAAACACCATGCGCACAACACATTTTTCCCACCGTATTAAAAGTATTTCAGCAACTTCAATTGCATGGGATATTTGATCATCAATAAAAAAAAATGTACAATTAATGTTCACTTAATAAGTAGCAAGCATCCTCTGTTTTTCCCCTTAGGTTGCTGCTAGTGAATTTTACATCAGCGGTCTTATGTTTTACCATAAGTTATAGCCTTTAATAGTTCACAATGGGCTGCACATAGTTTTTGCAAAAAAAAGCTACACTACGGTGTCTTGCAATTAAGAAATTTCCACATTGCGTATAAATACGCCCATACATACACACATCTATGTGTAAACTATCGAATGGGAGCATTTTGCTGAAAAGCTGTTTGCTTCGACGACGATAAATCAATTTGGGAAAAATGACCGAGAAACAACATCGTGCCAAATTGATAGAAAACGATAAGTGCAAAACCAACGACAAACTTAACTATTTACACTGCAAAATATTTCAAAAAATAAACGAAACTACAAAAGTCTTTGGGTTCTTTCATCGACAACACTGTATTCCATGCACAAGAGACATATATATTGTTCGTCCAGAAGCCAACACTATTTTTTGTGCAATTCCTTTCAAATATTCCTTTCAATATTCATGAGTTTGTCTTGTAGTCCTGCAGGGGGTGATGGTGAACTATTGGCACCCATTTTTAATCATTACAACGCCTTTTACAAATTTATCGGCTTACTGAGCTTTTGAAATCGAAATTTTGCGAAATTTTTCATCATTCTCTAAGAAATTAAAGAAAGTAAATTTTAAATTTAATATTTTTATGCAACTCTTTGGGATTTTTTTTTTCAACTAAAAAATTGCATCGATTACATATAATTAGTACTTGATGAAATATGATCCGTAGTATTTGAAAAATTATAAAAAAGTCCCCTCAATTTTCGATGATTGTATTTTTTCTCTCCATGTCTCCATATCAACCCATTATGAAATTCAAACTGAAACAGCACGCATTGGACGTTTTTTTTCCTTTCACTTTTATTTGCCATATTGTATAATCTATAAAATTGAATTTCGTAAATGAGGCCTCGTTCAATATTTTCATTTAGTTTACGAGACGAACAAAATAGATTTATTTGATTTGTAAGAATTATGTTGATATTCGCTAGGGGTTAGACACTGGTAATAATAATCAGTTATCTTAGAATACCGGTAAATTTCGATTCTGTGTACTAGTTCTATGAATCTTTTTGTTATGTTTTTAAAAAAGTATTTCTATGTGGGTTCCGCCATCTTGGAATCGTGGAATGTTAAGAATCTTCAAACACAAACAGATTATTCATCTCAAACATATGTCCAACCCCTAGGATATTCGTGAATATGTGTATGTAATGTACTTGAAAATATAGATAGATTTTAAAGACTCTCAGCAAAAGTGTGTTTTCAACATGTTTGTCGGGAGAGAAAAAAAAATGCGATAATGTGTTATCTTTGTGAAAATTGCGTTGTAAAATACATTTATTATATTTCGATGGGTTTTATTTTTGTGTTTGTTTTGCACTCTTTAGTTCTCTAGATAACTGTAAATAGCCACTAAATTTTCGCACATTAAAAAAAGATGAAAAATAAACTAAATATGACCTAAAAATATCAAATAACCAATAGAATTTCAAAGTCGAATCCATTTTTCTTTCTGTGTTTCTTTTTAAATACTTTTGTGTATTTTTTTTTTAAATGTCTTTGTCGAAATTGGTTTTCACCTCGTAACTTCATCCATTAATACTTGTCTGCGATTTCCTTCTGTAACTTTAATGTTTCGATGTACTTTTTGTGGGGGAGATAACTTTGTCGCATGATGCAACCAAAAATAAAAAAACAGGCACATTTGAATGTTGTTACTCTTTAAGTGTAACACATTCCGAATTTATATTGAAAATTTGGATATAAAACTCCATTTTTTACCGTATACCATCAATCTCTTCGAATTATTTATTTATCGCATACCTCGACTGACCCCAAAATAAAAACATTAATTTTTTTCTATCGATTACAATTCAATGGACGTATATGTTGATAGAGTGTGTGGTCTGGCTGTTTCAAAATTAAAAAATATCAATTTTCTTACTGTGGATGGACGTTGGAGGCTCAATCCAAATGAATAAATAAGTGCAATTGAACATTTGTTCGGTACAAATGATTTGAAAGCGATCAATGTTATTGAAAATAGTCGACTGTTGAAATTTCCGACCGGATAATTGGAAAATTAACGAAGAACCCTTGAAATTGACAAACAGACGAGTGTAATATTATATTTGATGACACTTGATATTTCCTGTTGAACAAAATAAAACTAATATCGATATGTTGGCATGTTTGTTGCCGATAAATGTTTTCGATTTGGACATTCAAATTGAGTTTTGAATATTCGATGTACACGATGGACTGTACCAAGTTGCTACCAATATACAATGTTCAAAAGTGAGACCTAGTAAATATTGACATGAGCAAACAGTTTTCGTTTTGCATAATTCGAAATTTGTACAGCAGCCAGGATGACGAGTTGTCAGTGAAGAATATTGATTTGTCTCAAATAAATTAGCCTTCGAATTTGTTAAATATAGCTCTGGTTCAATATGAATTTTCCCAATTCTCTTAACAATCATTGAAATCGATGCGATGTAAAGTGTTACATACGTGTATACGTCATACGAATACATGATTCATTTTGCTTAACAAAGCTTATAATACCAAAAATATATCCTTGTATTCTCATTGCAGACACGTTGACTGTTAACGTTAGTGTACTTCTACTTAGCTTAGCGTCTCCGGATGAATCGAGTCTGGTAAGTAAAATCGAAAATCAAATCTCTTGTTCATTTTTGTCTCTTACTCTCTCACCGGTTACATAATCTGTTTGATATCATACAAAAACCGTAGTAATAGCATTCGACCGAAAAATGTATTGATTTTAATCGCATTTGATCCGTAACCTTACCCAAAGTGACCTTTAAACCAATGGAAAAATATTCACACAAACAAAAGCCGTGCGTCTTCAAAACTACACGCTACTTTGGAAACCGAAACGAATAGAGAAGAAAAAGAGTCAAGAAAACCCGGCACAAGCAATCAGCAACAGTGACACAACGCATTGAAAATGAGCATCGACGTTAAACTGAACAAAACCAAACAATGCGCAAGATAACGGAATGATATAAGCAAACAGAGAAGAGTGAAGAAAAAAATAAGAACAAATCGATTGAGCGAGAAAAACGAAGCTCATAAAAGAAAACATGAATTTCGAATAAAGACATTAAAATAATATCCTCACCCTCGTTGCTTCACGCGCGCTCACAGTTTTACCATATAAAATGAAAGTTTCATTGAACATCGCAAATCATCAACCGAAATACGAAACGCAATATAAACAACGGATAAAATAAAAGGCATTACTATGACTGAATCAACCGAAGAAAGAAAATCATATTCACCTCTCCCTACTTGCCGTCGATTTTTTTTTTTTTTTTGAATACATTTGCATTTTGATTGGTTATAGCTACAAGCGGTTCGGTTTGATGAACGTAAACACAAATCATCAATGTGCACCCATTTTAACATTACCAGTATCAACATCACCATCACCGTTTTCATCATCGACGTAATCCGTTAACGTCATAATCAGCATGGCTGAAGGGCTTGTTTGACTCATAATCATTCGTTCGCCTCGATAAATTCACATATTGCCAACTAGTAGAGGAAAAGAAAAATTAATTTCACAAAAATGAATTGCGTGAGGGTGTCACAAATTCTTCAAACAGTTAAGCTTCGAAATTCCATTTGGCTTTTTTTATGTTGCTCTGCCAGAAGCCATTCGGTTGTTCAACTACCGCTTTTTTGTGTGATGATATTGTAAAAACTATCATAGCATATTTTGTCAATTGTTCCATTCCCCGTGTATGTCGAGGATAGCATTCCATGTAAAGTGATTGTTGATTTTTATATATATATTTGTTCCTTTTTCTGTAACGTATGCAGGGTATTTCGTTCACTTACGCCACAAACAATTCAATGTACTCTATCTGTCTTTTCCCTTTTCTTTCTTTTCTCTCTTTCTAGAAATATGAAGTTGAATTTTTATTGCAGCAACAATGGTACGATCCGCGACTACGGTATGCAAATCAATCGCAATATGAATACTTAAATGCGATCCACCATCACGAAGAAATATGGTTGCCCGACACCTACTTCATAATGCATGGTGACTTTAAGGACCCAATTATTCCGATGCACTTTGCACTACGAATTTATCGGAACGGCACAATAAACTATTTGATGAGGTTCGATATATCTGCTTTTCGCATCATATATGGATTGTTCCAAGAATGATCGAGATAAATCATTTGAAATTCAAATTGCATTTTCCATTTTTACACATACACACACACATTGGAATCTCGTTGGAATGCTCACTGTGAATCGGTCGGACATTGAATGAATTCTAGTTGGCAGAATGGTTTTTGATTCGATTAAATCCGTTTAAGATTTGTGATTTTCCAAAATGCAGAAACAAAAAACGGAGATGCCATACTCAACCCAAACACAGCTTGAGCGCGCAAAGATTCCAATTCATTTCGAAAACTTTTTTTTTTTACTCTCAACATCGTGCCTTTTTTCATCTTATTCACGCTCTCTTGATTGTTGTTTTTTTGTTTTCTACTCATTTTCATAGACGACATTTGATTTTATCGTGCCAAGGACGGTTGAATATATTTCCATTTGACGATCCCTTATGCTCATTTGCATTAGAAAGCAGTAAGTACACAATGTTTATAATTCAAATTTTACCATTTGTTCGAAATTAATTGTGTTGTGACCGTGCTAGCGCAATACAGTACATTGCTACACGGAGGAGAGAGATATACAGCAAAACTGAAACAATTTTTAAATTGTAATATAGTGTTTGGTTATTACATAAGGCATTTTTTTCCCGCATAATTTCAATAACAAAAAAATTTAAATTTTAATTCATTTTCACTTTGCTTTTCTTTATTCTTCTCTCGTTTCTAATATACACAATTTGCATAATAATTACAATGCAATGACAAAAACATACAAACAAATGGCACTCTATCCATCTTTATTTCGCTATCTTACTCATCTGACTGTGTGTATTCTCCGTACACTGTTTCAAATGGCCGATGTCCATTTCCAAAGTATCGTACGAATTATCGCATATAACATATGTTTGGAAGAACGATGAGGATACTTTACGTAAAAGTCCATCTTTAACAACGCTTAATGCATATTTAATACAAAATGCAACAACTACGTGCCCGATTAAGGCTAGCTGGAGAGGTAAATTTTGAAATACATTTCTGAAATCAAACAAGATATTATTATTATTATCATTGAGCATATTATATACACGCACTTTATAAAAGAGACGTTCGAAGTGAATATTTGGTATGACTTTGTGTGTGTGTGTGTGATAGAGAATGCGTGAATATGCTGTTTTATTGCGTTTCATTTGGTTTCGATTCCCAGATACGCGATCAAGATGAAAATGCTTAAATCAAATAATTGTGAGCAAAGAGTAAATGTGAACAGTACGATTCGTGTGTAATTTACAACATTAAGTGGAAAAAAATTTCGTTTAATATTTATCAGTTTTGAAAAAGGGTCGACAGTAATCGAGCTGGGCGTTATATTTTCAAACTTTGGTTGGATTTTTTTTTCTTTGTAGATCGTGAGTATGTGTTTGTTTTTGTGTGAGATAAAGCTTGTACTCCCAATGCGGTTATAGACCCGAAGCATAGTGGAACATTTTTATGCAACCGTAACGCGTACGAATAAGCTAGAAAATTAGTTATTAAAGGTTACACCAATTTATTCCATAAACTATCGATTCCGAAAGTTTTATTATTCCCTGAGCATGCAGTTGGAGAAATTGTAAAAAATGGCCGACGAGTATTTCAAAATATCTTGAATATGCATACTTTATTTTATATGCGACGAAATGGAGGAAACACATCGATTTGCATGCATTATAAAAAGTTCAAAGGCATTTTCCAGCCACGGTTGTTTGGAACATAAAACTTTTGCCGAATAAGCATTGTGAGACGATGACGATGACGACGACGACAACAACAACGACATTATGACGGAATCCGGCAGCGGTTGAACATATAAACGAAGCAATATCCTTCATTATTCATTTCGTTGTTAATGTGAATCGACCGAAACACGAACGCATGAAAATTCCGGTACGTTTTTAGTGTATTTGGAGCGCTTTAACGGAAGACTAAAAGCATTAAACATAAAATAAAATAGCAATGTGATTCATCGCTGTGAATTGCTTTCACATGGTTCTATAGTATACAGATTTTATTTGCATTTTAAACACAAAGCGGAAATTCACTGAAGATTGATAGCATAACACCTTCAACATCAGACAACATTATCAGTTTTGATCGTGTCACAATGGTTTTGATTCGTGCCACAGCAAAATACCACAGAAGTTCATCCGGACCGGTAATTTTTTCGTCAATTTTTTTTTGTTCGTCTGCTCAGCTCCCTTCGTTTCGTTCCCCTTTTTACCGTGAATAATATTAATTTTTCTTTTTTTGCTTCAATTTGTTAATGGCGGATAACAATTTTATCTTGAAAAGTTTATCACGCTCAAAAGTTAATTGAATAAAACAGATGTTTGACGCATAAACAAAATCTCATGATAATACATCGCAGAATTTGTAACAAGTCGTGCTACATGCCACTAAAGACAATGACAGTCCCCAATGATATTTTATTTGAATTTTTGTCTTGACATCAGTGAAACGTGCCAAAGTGTTGGTAATACAAACTTGGTATGCATGTGTATGAGCGCATACCAAGAAAAAAATATATAATGAAAATATTTGTAAGGGCATTCACAAATGTATGTATACATATTTCATTGAGACTGTATGTGACACATACTATGTGTGAGGTTGATGTATGAAGTTAGTTTCCACTAAATGCCAAATGAATAATGAATCAGTTGAGTGAAAAATTTACAAAATGCACCTGCAATTACTATGGGCGATAGGCGACACGATGGTAGATTGGAGTTGAACGCGAAATAGAAATGGTAACGCAAATGAGTGGCTCATTTAAAGCTACCATTTAAATTGAATGAGTGTCTTTTTCATTTTTATAAGAGAAAGGTATAGGTCGACAAATTGGCTGATTACAATCAATGAAAGAAGAAAAAGTTGAAGAAAAAAAAAACAACGAATGAGCATCATGAGCAATTTACAAAACGAGTGAAACTTTTGCTTCATTTGAATGTCCAATTGAAGTACGATGTCGGTTGCACGACACTCACTCTTGCACACAAACAGAAATCCAACTGTGCAATGAACGCCCGTAAATGATATAATTTGTATAAATGTGTCAGTGTGTGTGATAAATAGCGGCAATTCGGTCAGATTGAAATTTGAAAATGATGTATTCAACGCGTTAGCATGTTGAGAATGAACGAGCGCACAATATATGTCATTAAAAACAAAAGAGAAAACCATTTTGAAATACCGCATGTTAATTTATATTAATTTAATTTTCAGGTAATTACAGTTGCCTTAAGGTTGATCTCATATTCACAAGAGACCGAGCTTTTTACTTTACAACCGTATTCATTCCGGGCATAATTCTGGTTACGTCATCGTTTATTACATTTTGGTTGGAGGTGAGCGCACTTTTTTTTTGGTATTTATAATATCCGAAAATGACCTGTACGTGAAGCAAAATATAATATGCTAGCATAATAGTTGACGTTCGTTTTCGTCCTTCTTTAATAAAAATGTAATGACGATTACGGTGTAAAACACGCCACATTTTCATTATCTCTATTTTTGCATTTGTTTTTTTATTATTAATCTCTAATTTTACAGTCAAGAATTAAAATTATGATCCTTTTTTTAATATTGCAAGATTTTCATTGGATTTATCTCAATCTTAAGAATTTGAATGTTTTCTTCTTGATTGAAAAAAAAATGTGACCAAGTCAATACTGGCTGTAGGTGACTATATTTATCAATTTTACATATTGGTATGGACTATAGTCACTTAATTAGCCAGTCGATTATTTTGGGACATTCTCATTGATTACAGTTAATTAGTAAAGGTCTGCCAAAGTTGTCTGCTTTTTCAGTCAATCTGTCCCAAAAAAGTCAGTTATTTTTTTTCCACGCGCGCTTCGTTTCGAAACATTCGAGAGGACGTCTGTCAAATTAAAAAAAATTCCGTTATTTAACCTTAACGCATATTTTACGTTATAGCAAAATCTTATTTCATGATTGAATTTTTTTTTTTTTTTTTCATTTTTACGGCCATTGTTCATCTGTAATATTATTTTTACTTATCTATTTTACAGTGGAATGCTGTTCCAGCTCGTGTTATGATCGGTATGTATCTTCAATGCATATAGATTTATCTACGGCAAAGTAAATGCGGCCAAAGCAGTAACCTCATCCGTGTGGTGAAGATGCTTTTGGTTAAAATATCATCATTGCTGTGCCAAGTGCCCATATATTTTGACGAATCAAAAATAATGATGTATATGACATGTGATGTTTGGAATTATTTGAGCAAAACATTCCGATTTCACCACACAATTGAGGTTACTGTCAATTGTCGTTTCATCGCTAAGATTTAATGTGACGAGTTTATGCAACGTGATTCGAAAGTATATCGCTACGTATATTCTACCGAAATTTTATTTACAAAAAGGGCAAATCCTTCCAACTTGACGCACTGTACAAATGCATTTAATATGAGCCAATTACGAGAGCAAATATAGTTGTACTCCGGTAGTTCGAACCATTTGATTTTCATCAATTTTCGTTTTTATTGCCCATAGTCGCATATAAAAATAATTTAAATTGTTGAATTCTCTTCTGGCAATCCAAATTCAAATAATTTGAGTACCATAGCCCAACTGTAGTCCCCCATTTGTTTGCTATGCTCGTTCAAATATGCTTGCAGAATATGAATTGCGTTGCAGAATCATCAACAACACTATCAACCGTTGGAATAACGATCGTTTGGTAAAAATGCACAACAACTCTCAGTACAGATGAATTTTTATTATCAACTCCTTCTCTTGTTTCCCTCTAGTTGTCGAACGTTTTATTTGGATAAATGGTTCAAATGGCACGCTTCCTTTCTGTCTCTCTCTCTGTCTCTCTTTTTCTCAGTTAATTCGATTAACGCACAACCATTTAAATTACAAATGGAATCACATTTTGAGCTTTCATGGCGCCATACTCACTGTTGGAATTATTAAAATAACTCTTTTGGGGCCACGAATCTTCAAACCATTTTTAAATGGAATGCAAAACAAGAGCAAAAAAACGGTTGAGATTAATACAGTCCATTTTTCATTGTGCTTGAACTTTCACAAAGAAACAAAGTGCGTTGCATAGTCTACTTCTCTCTCTCTCTCTCTCTCTCTCTCTCTCTCTCTCTCTCTCTCTCTCTCTCTCTCTCTCTCTCTCTCTCTCTCAGAGCTTTGATTTGAGCAGACATTATATTGAGATGTTTTCATCCAGATATCGTCAGGAGCTGAAATGGAGTGAAAACAATATAAGTGATTGTAGCAATGTAAGTGTAATTATAGCCAGATGAATGGCTGAAAATATCTCAATATAATGTCTGGTCTTGAGTGTGGTTGAAAAAATGCAAAATTACATGAAAATTGTCGCCATTATGCTTGACACACAACCAACAACTGTACGGCGAAAATAAAAAAAGCGCGCACACTGTCTTGAGTTAATGTGTTTATAGTACTAATGTGTACTCTCCCTCGCACCAATTCGGTTGTTAGATGATGCCATTGTTTGTCGGTGCAATGCATTTTGATTGTGACAAATGAGCCCTTTCAATGTTTTATTTTTACTATCCAATTTACTGCCATCCAAGTTCAAATCCAAAGCCAATTTTTCCATCGTAAATATGTGTGGCGTGGTGTGTGCGTTCACCGGTGATTTAATTTAAATCGGTGACGTACATAATTCTATAATTTTAATGAATGTACGATGGCGATGTAGTTACCTGGCACAGTGGTACACATAAAGCTTACAAATATTCTATGTTATTACAGTGTATGCACACGTTATATACGTATGTGTGTAAGTTAATAGTCGAAATGCCATATATTTAATTAGATTTAGCATGCACACACACACACATCTCATACTAATGACGTGGCTACAATAACTGTACTACCTATCAAATGGACAAAAGTGTCCACATAGACGTTACATTACGCTGATGTCCTGAATTTCATCGAAAGTGAATGAGAAAATAAAACACTTGCCAAAATGCTGACGAGAATATTGTTGTGCACTGATACTGAACTGTGCACTTAAATACACTTTGTGCGCTATGCACAATGACCAACAGACACAAAGACACACACTGTGAGAGAGAGAGGAAAAAATAACGATTATGCGGCAGTTAAGCGCTACCATTTATTGCGGAATTCAAGTAACTCGACACATGTGAATAGAATAAAGTTTGTCAAACATTTTCCGAGCAAAAGCAATGTGTATTCGCAACGTTATTTAGTTTCTTGATGGTTTCAGGCCACACTTTCACACCACATGCAAAAACCAGTCAAAGAACAAGATTGACCGAATTTATTAAAATAATTATGAAGTAAAGAGCAAACACTAATCAGATAAACACTATCCATATAACATGTTGTTCTCTCTTTCTTTTTCTTGTCATTATTTCTTTGTTTCTATCTCTTATCTTTTCGTGTGCAGGTGTAACGACAATGTTGAATTTTTTCACAACATCCAACGGTTTCAGAAGTACACTGCCTGTGGTATCGAACTTAACGGCGATGAATGTATGGGACGGTGTTTGTATGTGTTTCATTTACGCATCGTTGCTAGAATTCGTTTGCGTTAATTATGTTGGCCGAAAGCGTCCGTTACACAATGTCGTCTATCGACCTGGTGAAAATCCGGTTACACAGGTAAAATATCTCTTTTCATCTGTCCCGCTCTCTGTCTCTATTTCTCGTTTCACTTCGTTCCGACAAAACAAATTTAAAAAAAAAAACGATTTTTTTCCTTTTTGTCTAAACTCTCTTTACTATACGATCGTGGAACAAATTTTTTTTGCTTATGTACTTATTTCCATGTTATGCAATATATGCTTCCGAATCTGTTCGAATTTGATTTTTTTCTCATTTTTTTTTTGTTTTAATTTTTTATACGTAAACATAACACAATTTTTATGTTAGTGATGTAAGAAGAAGGAGAAAAAAATGCAGAATCATACCAGTAGATGTGACTGCGCTCGCGCTTGTCAAGATGTTAAATTATCTTGACGGCAACACTTTGCATTTGAATTTTGCTTTTAAATCTAAAACCGATTTTTATTTGAAGCAAAAAAACAGGATGGCACAAACGGATTACTACCCTTGCTTATATGATTACGATACTTACGAATATGGATAAGCGTTTAGCTTTTTTATTAACATATATGTGTTTGTATTTATTTGATTTGGTTTTTTTTTTTTTTTACTATAACTATATTTTCTTTCGTTTGTATAATAATGCCTGTTGTAAAAAATGGAATCAAACGGTAGTCAAAGGGAAACCAAATAAATCATAAAGTCAAAACATAGCAACCTTAGCGATGTACAAAGAAAAGCATTGACAGGATGAGATATAGAATTGTACAGTCTTTGTACAATGCTGTGATGATAATGTCGATGATAAGAATTTATATGAATTACATTTGACAAACGACAACAATACATGTTCATCACACTTGAACATGATTATCACTATAATTTTTCATTATGAACAGCAGATCCAAAGTGTTAACAAAATATTTGGACAACAACAAAAGATGTGTGCGTTTGTTTTCAATAACATACAGTTAAAACCCAATATCAATATTTTTTTGTTTTGTTGTTTATTCCAACTAAAAATGTAAATATACGTTTAATGCTAAAATTATAAATGGATTGAAAATTGAGAAGAAATGAAACAAAATAGAAAATAAATAAAATAGAATGCGAATAATTCAAGACAAATTTCTTAAATGTGACTTAAACAACTGAGCTGAAGACGGTATCGGTGACGATAAATTTTACCTGAAAATCAGAGGAAACCAAACAAATACGAATATTTCTTCTTTTTCTATCTCTTATATATGTGTTTGTGTGTTTCGTCCGAGCAATCTATCATTTCTTTTATTCATATTTATAAGTATTTCATTCAGTTAAACTTCTTTAAAAAAAACAAAAACAAAACAAAATAATATATATTTCACAATATTCACATTGAACAATTATCTCTTTCTATATATTCTCGACGATCAAATAACACAATGTTGTACGAGTGTTGGCAATTATTTATTTATTTTTTTTAACATTTCAACAGTTTTCTCCTCTGTACAAGTTATACAAAATAGTATTCGATGTAGTGTGATATAATCATCCAATTTCTTTTTCCCTTCAAATATATAAATAATATCTGCTTTGTACTATGACTAAAAAAGAATAAGAAAACTTACGTAAACGGTGATATTTATAGCTTCTGACCAGGAGTCCAAGGGGTCAGTTCATTTCCCGTTCCTCTGGATAGTGGATTTAAATATTTATCTAAAATATGTTTAAAGAACTTTTCTGCTTTTCACTTCGATCGAGATGAGTTTAACTATAATTATCAGCACATACAGCCAGATAAATTTATAAGCAATGAATCAGCCATCTGTGACTGCTCTTGTAAACAGTTCAAATGTAACAAAATGACAAAATTTATCAATAAATTATCCATATGGATGCGTCAACGTTGACTTTATCTGACGGCATGTCCTGATAATTAATAATTTTTACTTTCTTTTTCCGAATAATGTTGAATTCAATCATCCCCTTGGATTGTCAACATCAGAAGCCATGATAATATTGCTGCTGCACAAAAGTTCTGGTTGATATTTTAAATGAAAAAAAAAATCCCGTGATGATCTCTCATAGCAATTCAACAATGAACATTCATGTATATTACAAAGCAGTTTTCCACTAATTGTGATTTCTCTACTTTCCATTTATGAAGCATACTACTTTTTGTTCTAGTTTTTTTTCGGTTTTCAATTTTTAATTTATTCACACAATTGTCTCTTTTTTATTGTTTTGGTTTGTCCGTTTTGTAAGTTAAGCAGTGTTTTTTAATCGTTGTTTTTTTTTCTCTATCTCAAGTGTGCCAAAATAGAGCAAATGGTCTTTAACCCAAATCAACAAAATGTTTAAAACATCATTTGTAGACCATATCTCGGCTTTATTCAAATTGAAATCTATTCAAATGACGTATATGCGAAATAATCATCAAGAATTGTTAAAATTCGATTTGAATATGCACAGGCCAATGAAATGGAATTCTTCTTGATTCACATAACACACAGACACACAGACACTCTTGTGTTGCTTTCAATTTATTTATTTTTTTACATTTTTGCATACAGACGTGTCAATATTTTGTTTTTAAATTATTTCGTAATTTATTTTAAAGCGAGAAATTATGAGTGTAAGCTAATCACGAGTTTAATGGTAAAATATGCGAAACATATTGACGCAATGACTGTGTGCAAAAAAAAAAAAATAGAAATTATATGAAACGATGAATTTTTTTGCTATATTATGTAATTGCGTTTGTGTGTGTTTCTGTCAGCACATTTTTCACACCTTTTACCTTATTTCACTAGGATAACGAAATCAATACCCAAGGAGCAATTGTGAGCAATTTTTGTTTGTTTCAAAATGCAATTACAGTTCAAATGACCATTTTAACCACCGTGAATTTACGTGTACAATTGTGTTTTGTTGTTGGTTTTTCCCATTTCATTTCCCTTTTAAGCCTTTTTTGAAAAACATTTGCACCGAAATACAGTTGAAGCATTTGGTCAGGGTCAAAATATGACAGGAATATAATATTCAAATTTATCATTAAAATAGAGTCAAAGTTATAACAATAATGAAAAAAAATACCAGATTAAAACGTGGTTTTTGAAATGATCAATAAACATTCGAAAAAAAAACCTTTTTATCGATTTTCTATCAAATATAATTAGTACAAACAATTTTTTTTTAGTACAAACAATGATATAGTAATTCAAAGAAAAAAAAACTACCCAATTAAAACCACATATGCGCCGAATACATGAAACCATTGTGTCTACAAAATCTATAAAATAAACAAAACACACACACACACACAATGCCATTAAAAACACACCGTGATCTATTCAAATTGTGAAAGTATATCAAGTCTCATGAGAAATTGTTTGAACTTATTCATTGATGAAAAATGTTTCCACTCTTCGACCAGACCGTCGCTATTTAAGCTAAAGAATCGAAGCTAAAAAAAATAACTAATTCAATTTTATTTCGATGGATACAACAACCAACTCAAACATGAATGGAATGACACGAAATCGAACATTAATTTCAGACAAAATCAAAGGAAAAACCCAAAAAATAACAAATAAATAACTAGCACAATAGAAAACCATAAATAAAACAACAGCAAAAACAACATGAATATGTCCGTTTATATTTATCCGCACGAAGTCATGAACTTGTTGAGTTTCCACGCGATTTAAAAATCGCATTGCATGTATGTGTTCGTGTTTCACACACTGTGGAAAACCTAACAACCGTAATGAGTTTGATTTTTTTGTTATAATTTTTAATTTTGGTAATTTTTGGAATTTCTTTTTGACAAAGAAAATCGCAACTTAAGCAAATTTGTTGTGTCCATCATTTAACAAGAAACCAACAAAACAAATAGATAATTTCATCTGGTTGTTTTTTTTTTGATATAGCAAAAAACATGTAATTTCACTTTTGTGTCCCCTAGAAAATCACACCGGCACATTTGCCATATCTCGAGTCTCATTTTCAATCAAAATGTAAACAATTCCACAGCAACCCCACACGGGCATACAATGGAACTGTCGACAGTAAATGGCTTGTTTTGGTGGTGCACACTCGAACAATATTATAAATGAATGAAAACATCATTCGATTTTTGATATCTCTCTCTCTCACACACACACACATAAACAGACGAATTATATATATTTCCCATAATATTGTGCGTGTGTGTTTCCCATATTTTTTTTTTCGTCTTAATAAACCTTATATATTTTCCAGTAAAACATTTATTTTGGTTTCTATTGTTTTATTTTTAAATTTGTGTGTGTTTTGTTCTCTGTTAATTTTGTTTATTTCCTTTATGTTGGCCATTAATTTCATGCAAGCATTTTCTTAGAACCGAATAATCAGCAAACCAAATTAGATAATCGATTATGAGCAATGTCAAACAATTCAAAACCCCAAAAAAAACAACAACAACAAACAAAATCAATCAAAATCATTAAATCTTAAAGTGTGTTTAGTATGAACCAATATGTGTAATATCATTTTCTAGCGACTTCCAGCTGTACTTAGCCGAATCGGAGTCATCTTGGCTAGTCCTCTGGTAAGATATTTATGAATACATAATTTTTGTTTTTGATTTCCTCTTTTATTATTTTTACCCTTTTGGTTTCCTATTTCCCCGACCCCCCCAATTCCTCAGAAATGAAAAACAAAACAACTTTCTCTCTCTGTATCTCATGTTTATCTATATCTTAATGTTGCTCAAACACCATATTATACACACATCACATTCACATTACTCATTAAGGTAGCTTATTCCATAAGTCGTTGATTAGTCGCATTGTTTCCTTTTTATATTCTTCATTTAAATCTTTATTATAAATTGATTGATGGCAGCAGCAGCAGCAGCAGCACATAAGTTTGTGTATTTGCTGTTTAGCATCAATTGACATTTTGAAAACGAAACAAAAGAGTAATAAATAAACCACATAATAAGCAAAATCCCGTTTGTACCATAAGTCGACAGTAGATCCGATATAGATTTAGACAACACCTACATATTTATATATATCTCTCTCTATATATATATATTATGCAATTTATCACAAAACACTGCAATTTTGACATGCTTCCGATTCGATTTGTGCACGTGACAAGCCCCCTCCCCCAGTACATACAACAGCTTCAAATTTGGAATTGAAATCGAGAATCAATTGCTAATCGCTTTTTTCCGCCATTTTCCGTGCATTCACAAAATTCGTCTAGCATATCAATGCAATGAACAACAATTTCACTGTTTTTTTTTTTAATTTCTCATCCGTTTGCCTTCCATAAAATCATTTAGCAACGCATTTAGTTCTCCCGTATGAATCTGGTTTCATTTTGTTTTTGTTTTGTTTTCAATTGTACACACGCAAATACAGAGACATTCACTCACACACCTACAGATATAAACACAGTAGCGTCACATAAACAATTTGAAACAAACACATAATAAACACACTTTAAGCTTTCGAAATCTTGTGTATTCGATTCGACCATTATCATATATCAAATTTATATTTGCCGCTTTCGATGTATACTATATTGTGGACATTTATTGTATATATTATACATATCTATATATATATTTATAAATATAAAACGATTCACTCAATCCTTATTTCATTTGTCTCTGTTGAAATGAATCTTTTTTCTATTTTTTATTTAGTGTACTTTCAAATCGATCATTATTATTTTATTTTCATGCATTTTTTCTATCTTTCTATCGATCTCTTATCATATGATTTTTTGGCCTGGTTTCATTTTTTCTTTCATTTCATTTCACTCCACTCAATGATATTTCATTTTGGAATTTGTATTTTAGAATTACGAAAAAGAAGAAAATGTCTGGTCAATTTAAAAATTTGCTTTGAATTTATTTTAACGCTATTTTCCCCAAAATAATCATAATATAATCATTGTAACAACAACATTAACAAAATGACAAGAATTACCATAAAATGTACTGAATTAAAACATATAAACGAAACAATTGATTTGATTAATGAATTCAGCTCGCGCACGTTCAAAACAATTTAAAAAAAAATACTACAGAAATCTGATTGTATGCATCTAACGGACGGAGCGATCCGAATACGTTGTATGAGTGTATAATTTAAGCATTAAATGCTATTTACTTAACTGCAAACGAAACAACAGAAATTCTTTCAATATAATTTTCATTTTTTTTTTTCAAATCTTATTATCATTTTATCAAGTTAAATAAAAAATGATGCGTACATTTAGTTTTGATAATTTATACTTCTTTCTTCAACCATATTTTCTGAAACAAACAATCCAAACAACGACTTAATTTTCAACAAAGACGAAAAATCAGCCAACGATTTTCAGGATATACAGTCAACCCACTTCATTGGCGCTGATAAATCCAGCCGAATATTTTAGTGTATAAATCGAATGCGCTTTCAAAGCAATGCTCGCATAAAGTGTATGTCTGCAGTGTGTACGGTGATGAAATGAAGTCTTTACTCTGGGTCTAGCTCTGTAAGTGCTAAAATACCCGGCTGGATTTATCAGCGCTGATAACGTTAGCTAACACCATGCCTTGATTCTTTTTTCGTGCCGAAGATTTGTACTTCTGCATTGAACCTCTGCGAAAAATGGGATAATCGAAAAAAAGTACATTCTGTCTGGGATGTATTTTTATTGTGGTAACGGTGCTTGGTTCTCAAATACATCCTCAAAATAAGCGGGGAATGGATGTTTCGGTGAATCATTGAGCTAATGACATGATCAGAAAGTATGGTTGTTATTTTTGGTTATCAACATTTGACATTAGCTGTTGACCTATTTAAACACATATACACATACACCCACGTAAAACACGCACATTTGAATGACAGCATATAAACGTATATCATTCGCAATATGTCTAAAGCGCTGTTAATTTCAATTACTTTATTACATTTTTCGTTCAATTACAGACAATATATTCAACTAACTGGTCAGTTGAGCTGTTGACAGTACGTTAGCTAGCTAAACGGGCTAAAACAATAGACGTTATTGTTTTAATGATGAATCACTTCTCTTGTTTTAATTGTAGTCATTGTTCATTATAACATTCTATTGTTTAAGTCCATTTAGATGGCTAACGTACTGTCAGCTCAACTGTCCAGTTAGTTCAATATATTGCCTGTTCAATTATTTAATTTTGCTATTCGTTAGGATAGATAAACATCTGAATTGGATAGAAATTATCCAACATAAGTAATAATAATCAATGTTGAAAGTGTATTTCTTCTTTTTTTTGTGAAAAAGGGGGTCAAAACCATTATTTATGGAATAATTATTACGCAAATATTAAACAGAGACACATTTGTGCAAATAAATGATTTAAATTAAATGTATGCTAGTACGAGGAAAGAAAAATGGATTTATTTCCGTGATCATTTTTCAAGCGAATAAAAAAAACAGTGCACTGATTAACATTCAATTGTTTAATTATATTTTCAACCATTCAATTTATCACATCAATGAACATTCATAAAAAAAATTGATTTTTATTCAAAAGAAAAGCAAAATGAATGAATTACAATTGCATAATTACTTTACGCTTTAGCTTTAATTAAATCGATTTCAATATGTCCAAATGAATGATTTAATATCCACAAAAAAATAGTCGCGTTCGGCTTTATAATAAGATAAATTTTAGCGTTTTTTTGCTGTAAAAATCTATAGTTTAAGTAAATCAAAAGACCGCAGCTTTTGTCAAAATGAAGGATAATCACAGCTTATTTGAAAACAAATTGCCTGAAAAACATTTCTAATTTCAAAACTAGTTAAAACTTTGTATAATATAGTTTGGCGAGGGCCTTTGTTTAATTTATTTTGTTGTTCTTAATCAACCATCAACTCTATATAAGTTTTGGTCATGCATTTGTAGATCTTTTTTCTTTTGGTTCGAAATCAGAACTAACAACAAAAACTGAAAGCACTGACTTTTAACAATCTTTCTCATCAAACATCTCAAATCTTCTGTAAACAATGGGAAAATGCTCTTTATATATAAATACATATGTGTGCGCTGGTTCGCTACCTCGTTTGCTGATATACACAAAATTCGATGCGTCAGACAAAGATAATCTCTCTTACTTACTTCATTTTGGACGATGCGATGTGACTCATTTTAACCAACTCTATACATGTCTCTTTCTTTCTCTCTCTATCTCTCTTTCACACACTCATCGAAACAACCACTCATCCGTTCATAAAGTGTATTAATAAAGATTGAATGGGAATACAAAAATGCAACTCAAACATCGAGAGAAAGAGACCAATACATTGAACTAAAAAAAAAACAGACACACAAAAAGTTCATTCGTTCATCTGAATTCAGTCCGTGTGCTTCCCGTGTGTGTTTATTCAATCCCTCAAGTGACATAAACAGCTGACAGTGTACAATATATTCAAGTGTGTGTGTGCTCTTCTCTATGAAATCACAATAATAGGAAATAATTGAATCGGAATTTTTGGCTGCAACGGCATCCGATAAAATGCATACAACAACAAATGCGGGAACGAACCAACCGACAACGAATTCGTCAAAATTACATTTATCAATTCGTAAACATAAAGCGAAATGTGATGCAACAGCACATGCAACAGAAGTGCCATCTACATCACAGGATATCACCGGATCGCATGATAACAATACATTTGAAAACAGCCAACGAGCACCAACAACGACTAATGATCAAAAAGATACCAACAACAATCGAATGAGACAGCATCAAATGGATTTCGATGCTGATGCTTCGGTTGGAATCATGCAAGCAAGTGGCGGTGATAAAGTTGAACGTCTTACTGAAATTGAAATGAAGACGATGGACTCGTTAAAACCACAAAGACGTAAACAACCATTGAGCATTCGTACCGAAGGTGAAATTAAACAACAGCATTGCGGTTGCATTCAAATACCAATCGAACATGCCGATGTTGTTGAAGATGATAAAATAATGGCTCATGACGTGAGTTCTTTAAAAAACCTCCCTGTTTTTTTTTTCGGTTTTTTTTTTTCCTTTTTCTTTTTTTCCGTTTTATTCTCGATTGTGTTTCGATTTGTTTTATTATTGTTATTATTAGTATAAGTTTGATTCTTGGAATTTCTGTTGGCTTTTGCGTTTGATTTTTTCCTACAATGTGTTTGTCACCTTTATTTTCGTGAACAATTTTTTTTCTTATATTTTGGTTTTTTTTTTCTATTATTGTGTTTTCCTTTCGTTGTGCTTGCATTTATATCGATTTTCAGTTCAAATTTGCGAGTTTGATTTGATTTTTAGATTGTTCAAACCTCAATCGTTTTATGGCAAAAATAAATAGAAATGGCATGTTCAATTGAATGGATACCGAATATATCAATGTGTATTTTATGATATTTGTAAATCTTTGAAGAAAAATAATAATAATAATAACATCTTCGATATATGCTCACTTTATATCAATGTGTTATGTGTATTTTGATTCTCTGGCTCCTTCAATTAAATTTCCATTTGGTGAGACGTTGAATGTATTGTGTGTGCGTGCGTAAGATTTATTGAAATAATAGATATTTTCTAGCAACAGTAACAATTAATTGAATACAATTGAACCAGATTATTATTATTATTATTCGAACGCTAGATGAGCATAACGCTTTACCTTTTGGTCAATCGAAACCACTATCGCATACACGATACATTGTCGAACATGTCGATAGAAATCGAATACTACATTCTCTCGTTCTCTAAATTATTATCATTTTGGCATTATTATTGACACACTTAAATGCTACTCCACGTCTCACCAAAATCGATTTATGATTACGATAATGCAAAATGTCTTATATAAATTATAGAATATACAATAGCATATTGATGGTGGACACTGGACACACGAACGAACACATTTAATTCATTGTTATTAATTGAATGAAGCAAAATTTCACTATGATATGATTTATGCTTTTGCTTTCATTTCTTTAATTTTACTCGTCGGTTTAACATTTTTAACGTTCGTTTTATATTAATTTTGCGCATTTCCGTCTATTATATGAATGTATTATAAATTTTCTTTTGTTCGCCGTACCAACTTTTTTTTTTGTTGGTCATATTCGTCTATTCGATTTGGTTATTTTTGTTTTCAGTTTAAGTTTCTTTCGCACGGAAATGTTTTATTGGATTATTACCATTTTTCTTTTCTTTTGTAATCCACTCGTTCGTTCGTTTAGTTGCCTCCCGTTTCCTATCATTGTCTATAGTTGCAAGACGTGAATGGAATATTTAGCTTTTTCGTTTAGGTTATCTTCACCAATTCATCCGCTTACATATTTACTGAAATGAGAACAAAAAGAAAATTAAATGAAATACTGTAAAAACATAAACCAACGAAGATGGAATCCAAAGTACGCGGATAGAAACTACAATGTTTTCTCTTTGGATTTTCCTCGGAATGGTTTGGAACGATGAACTATAAATTCAACCACGAAACAAAACAAATATAAATTGAAATATAGTTGATTTTTGTTTGTTCATCCAACGATACAAATACGAGACAATTTTTTTTTGAACGAGAAATCAATCAAAAAGAAAAAGATGGCGATCGAATTCCGTGTGAAAAGTACGCAATCAAGTGACATATCATTAAAATCGATCAATTTTATAAAATAAAATAGACGTTATCTGTTCCAAAAATAATCGAACTTTTTGCGAAAAAGAAACACAATCGAAAAAAGTTTTTTTCAGCTATACTCGTTTGATGTCAGCATGCGTCGACATGGTGTGAAACTTTCATAAGAGTTGTATTTTCACGTTGAAATTAATTTCGATCTTCACAGTGATTTCCATGTTAAATGAACAAATGAAAAAATTCAATTTTTTTTGGCGAAAATTCAATTTTTTGTAATAAATGGATTCAAACAAATTTATACCGAGAGCTGATGGGAAAAGATCTATTATTTTTGCTTTATGTCAGAAAACTATATTAAACCATGCAGCTAGACATACACTAAACAATTAATTTTACGTCTATCATTACAGCCCTCCCACTCGCGAAATCTGCACTATTATTCGCTGATAGAAAATACATCAACTATTAAAGCGAGCTGTATGTTTGTTTTATTTTGGAATATGTTTTGTTATTGCTCAAATATTCTTCTAATATAAAGAAGAAAAACCGTTAAAAGAGTGCTACTTCCATTCAAAAAGATCTACCGTGCATATTGGAGTCACACTCAAATCCTGGAAAAATTCTTTCACTAAATTTGCATTTGAATCATAGACACAGTTCAAAATATAGCATTACTCTAAAAAGTTCGCTCATTTTTGAAACAGACATATAAAATTTAAAGTATTTATGTTTCTACGTACCAATTTTTTATTTCTTCTCTGTGTGTATGTCCATAATTGAGCGTATCATCAATTGAAGAATGAACGCAAAAGATCGAACACCAATAACAACGAGAACGCCAGCAAATGCCAAAATCGAAACCTAAATATTGTATACATATACTTAATGGATTGAGCATACGATAGTATACCGTACACCCCGTATACATAAATGTAGCATACAAGAAACTGGGGAAAAAAGGACAACAACCAGCTACTATTCATCGACCACATACATGGCTCTCAATTGCATGATGGCCATTCGATTTCACCTTGCAATAAAGTCCAAACCAAAATGCGAATAATCGTGTGTCTGTGAGTGGATTGTGTCAATGACACAGTCCAAAATTCACGCACCACATTCGAACTACACCAGTGTAGTACAATAGAATGTTTGGCAACAAAAAAAAAATCAGCCCGCATGCATATGGTCGATATCTACTGACATTTATGCGTGGTTGGAATCACACATACATACGCTGAATTTCAAATTTAAAAATAGAAAAAAAAAAACCGAAACCAACGAAGACATGCAGAAAATGAAGAAAAAACAGTGAGGACAAAAAAGCGAATTACATGAAATGGATTATGCCTTCGGGCGAAAAATATGTACATCGGTTGTATAGTTGATTTCAAATTGATTTATTTTCGAAACAGAATCGAATAAATAATTTATTGGTTATTAGCCACATATAGCACAGTTTAAACGTGGGTAGCCATAACAACGATTGCATTAAACAACCAATCGAATTGCACTTTTTTTTATTGAAATTGTCTGTCGCTTTGCTATTGAGTATGGCACAACTTTATCACAATCGACGATTACCAAAACGAAAACGTAAACCTCAGTCTCGCTATCTATCCAAAGCAAAGATGGACAAAAAATGTCAGTTTTTCGATGTGTTTATTTAGATTTGTTTTTAACTGACAGTTTTTTTTTCGGATGATTTAAAAACGGTTTATCAAATACTGTTTGTTCTATTCGTTCGTACACTATTTATGGTTGCTTTTGTTCTGTTCATTTTATTAGATTGTCCAATTTTTTTTTATGAACATGAATGATCATATTGAGAACCAAAAAGTGCTCTCAATTGTTACTATTTACAATTGAAAATGCACAAATTAGCTAGATAACCAAATTAGGATTGATTCATTTAAAGTTTAAATCTATGTATGGTAGTTTTGTTACATGTTACAAATAAACTTGATTACTTTTTTCTACAATTTTTTTGTTAAATGTATGTAGCGCCATTGGCCATTGTATGGATGGGGCTCTGGTTAAATAACCCGTATGAGCAGCTACGAATTTGATCAAGGACCATATATTTGGACGTTTATATTTGTTCCACAAAATAAAATAAAAAATATTGTAGCGAAAATTGTATCGTTGAACAAATAACAAGTGAATTGATATAAATAATGCAGATAGAAAACAGATACACCGTGCATTTCCAATACCAATTTAAGGCTGGGCACATTTGGAATGAAAAGTGAACAAGTGTATTTTAATGTTAATCAAGACAGTAACAATATATTTTAAGTTTTAACGGAAATATTTATAACAAAAAAAAAAACCAAAACATTGAAAAACAAATCAATAATTCAATGGATATTTAGAGAAATATTTGGTTCAATATTAACAATAAAACTAACAATAATATGATCAGCTTGGTCGATATATCGATCGATTATTTACTACGGATTTTGACCACGTATCCATTGTACTACAAAACATGTATATTGACCATGCTGGATGTGTTATCCCTTATATTCTCTGTTAAAATATTATATTGGTTTTTTGTTTTCGTTACCTATTTTTGGTTGAATAATAATAATAATAATATTCTAGATCCATATTTAGTTGTAATAAATCATATTTTAAAGAAAATCGATTTGGAAGAAATATGTTTGTTGCCATGATTAATACCTCAATTAAATGTGACAAATGTTTGCTCTTTTATGCTTGCATTCACACCATTTTTGGACATGGATGCACTTAGCCGGTAAGTTTGTAGCATTTTGCATTTTGTTTGCCGTGCGATTATGTTTGTTTTGTGAATGAATTTTATATTGCTAGTGTATGGTATATGGTTTATGGTGTAAGCGAATGTGTTAGAAATATGTTGTGGCTGGACCATACTGGAATTCAGTCTAACAATTCTATTTTTCCAATGAAATGTATGTGTTTATCTATGTTTTTGTCTCTCTTTCTATTTTTGTGTGTGTGTGTGAGTGTGAAATTTACGTTTTATTTACTTAAAAAAAACAAATGGAACGATTATTTTTTGCTCGTTTATTTATCGATGTAATATTTTTTCAAATTTCCCTCCTCCATGAATGAACTTGACAAAAACCAAACGAACGAAAAAAAAAAAACAAAAAACCACATATTAGGGAGAGAAAAAACGTGATGCTGGAGGTCCCAATGAAATCGTGGCGTGTACAAATTGCGGCGGTGGATCAACACCATGCACACATTCGGCGAATAACGGATGTGCAACTGAGGTAAAACTTATAATGTGATTGTTTGATCCAACAGTTATTCGATAGCGGAATTGTTAAAAAAAGAAAAATCATTTGTCGTTTTGACACACAAAAGACGAAATAATGAGAGTAAATCGCTCTTTATATATATATGGTATATGTTTGTGTTCTTTTCCATTTTATTCCACTATTTGTAGACTTGTTTCGTTCCAATGAGGAAAAAGGAGCCACCGCATCCGATTCGAGTTGCTAAAACAATTGATGTCATTGCGCGCATAACATTTCCAACGGCCTATGCAATATTTTTGATATTCTTTTTCATCCATTACAAAGGGTTTTCATAAGGATATGGAACAAACAATCAACACACACTCACTCTCACACAATGAAGAAGGATAGCTCGACTCGAATCAATGATTCGTAGCATAAATTATAAAACCAAAATGAAACGTAACGCTGATTCCATGCTCCCGCCTCCCATTATTGTTGAAATCATTGCAATGAAACCCTCGTTTTCGGCTCTGTTTAGATAAGTAACTCGCATCATTTCATAGATCCATACGAAACAAGCAGACAGGAGATATGAAATGAAAGGATAGAAAAAATGCACGGGAAACACAAACACACGCAGACACATCTCCATTCTCATTTGTGCATAAACGCTCTCTTTTAAAGCCATGAAGCAGTCATTTAACGGGAAAAAAAGAAACATAAAGAAAAAACTGAACTTTGCAGCTTCTTGTATGTGCCATATTCTATACATGTATCTTATAGAGCAAAAAGAGAGAAAACGGAACAAAGTGAAAATTAAGAAATGGAGTTGATTTTGTGTTCACGTCTCTGATCAAATATTGCATACAAGCCAAATGCCAATACCGAAATGAAAAACTAAAATTGACGTAACTAAATGCACGTATTATCTTATCGATAAGAGCTCTACCCAAAACTGCCTTTTTATAATATATATGTACATATGATATTTAAAAAAAAAACAAGTATTTCAGTCTAATGATCAAACACGCATATTTTGAATGTTTCTTGATTAAAAAAAAAAAAAAAACAAATACACAAAACATCAAGAACACGTCAAATGGGAAAAAAGAAATATTGTGTGTGTCAAAGCCTATCGTTGGAGTACAATGCACCAAACAACCAACAAATAATAAATACCAACGCAAAAAATAATAATAACTAAATAGCAAACACGCGAAATAAATACACTCGGATCAATTCAACTCGAAAAAATTTCCACATACCCACAATGTGGGTCCCACACACACACACACACATACATATATACACAGTGACACAAAATAAACACGTTTAAGAAAATGCATACAGAATAGCAGTAATTAACATCGTCATATTTTTAAAAAAATCTGACGTTAAAATATGAATCACAAGTGATTTTAAATTAATACAGCATATAATGCGTTTCAAAGTTAAATTAGATAAAAAAAAATACACACCATTTCATTTATACATTTTTAGGTCACATATATAAGAATGGTTAAAAAAAAGAGCTACAAATTGTTCCGTTTTTAAAATGAAACTCACATTATGTAGTCTGAGTATTTTAATTTTGTGTTCGACTACGGATGCTGATATGGATACAAAAGCGGTAGCAGCAAAAAAAAGCAATGTTATTAAATGAAAATATTTACACATGTGTAAGTCCATATAATCAGTCGTGGCTCCGATGTATATCAAAGTACAGTGCTTACGAAGAGAAAGATAGATAGAGAGAGAGAGAGAGAGAGAGAGAGAGAGAGAAATAGACGTTTGATCATAATTCATAGAAACAATCTTCTTATCGCACACCCATGATTCACAAAATACACAACATTCAACCAATTTGCAAACAAAAAACTCACATGCAACAAATATTTCCGTGCAAAATGTGCTGGAATAAAAGCACACAATCTGGGTTTACATAAATCCAATCAAATTAATCAACCACAAAGTTAGACTTGATCTACACGAATGAAATGAAATGATCTGATTTATGTGATCATTCACAGAGATTCTTACAAATGCCGAAGGTTAGCTGTCTCAAAATCGCTATCATTTCAATTTTTCGATTTTTCCGTTCGTTTCAAAATTAAAAACAATCTTTCATAGCAATATTAGTTTAAATCGTGTATATAATCTTTGTCGTTAATAGTTTGCTCTTTGAATGAGAATGTCCTGATGCCATTTCAGTGCGTTCATAAGATATAAGAAGGAAAAAAAAACAAATTCATTCAACGATTTATAAAATTGGGAGCAAGTTGACTTATTTTCTGGTTTCAATTCCCTTCAATTTTGAGTACTATGTAAGTGTTTGTAAAAAAAATGTATATGAATATATGAAATGTTTATCTACTGTTTACATTCGTTTTTTTTTTCTCTTTTTGTTTTTGATTTCCTTGAAGAAATTAATAACATTAATCGGACCAAACCCCCTCAAATGATTTAAGTAAATTACATTTATTAAAATAAAAAACAAAAAATTATGCAGCAAAAATGACAAGCTTACGAATAAAGAATGAAGTAAGCGAAATAAGTGTATTTATTCGATTTAATTAAAATGAAATTTATATTCAAATGAAAAGAAAGTATTATCCACTATCTTCAGTGAATTGTAATAATTCTCGATACTTAATCGTCTTCGAATTTTTTTTTAAATTGAATTATTAAAAAACAATATATCGTATTTATGTGGATTGGAAATGAAATGGATAATAACAATTTGAAAATCTCTTTTCTAAATCCAACACTCTGAAATGTTCATCATATTCAAAAAACTTAAAACATAGCAAATGCCTTCAACTGCAAAACCAAAGATCAATGAAAGCCAAAACAAAAGATACATAAACAAAATTGAACTACAGTGGAATCACGATTAATCGTCAGTTTTATATGAGACACTCTTCAAGATTTTGAATAAAAATCTTTTTCCATATTAAAATATGTGCTGTTTTGTTACTGATTATGTTCAATATGATGCAAACACAAGTAGTTTTTATATTGATTGAGATACATTTGGAGGAACACACTGCACAGCGCCACATTAACAAGTGAAGTTCCCATATGTGGTGAAGGCAAACCAAACATAATAGATCTCACACACGATTTCATCCAGCACCGAATGATTGCCATGTCCGATGGATGATCGATGTTCCACTGTAACTATTTTTATGCAATTTAATTTTCTTCTAGTTCGCCATAAATAAAACGTCTGTCAAAACATCATATTCTTTAGATTCGATCCATAAATTCGGTCGATCATAAAAGATGAAAGAATAATATAAAAAAATCTAATTAAATCAACAATTTAAGGTGAACACGACATTTCATACGCTTTTTTCTACAAACAAAACTATTAACACAAGTACAAGTAAACAAGTGTCACATAAAAACAAAAACAAAAACAAAAAACAAACACCAAAGTAAATTCATTGTGTAAACGCTTCAAAAGACGTTTGTGATTTTTCTGTGCCCATTTCTTCGTTGACATATCATAATGCAAGTTTTGCTATTCCTTCCGACTGGACTAGAAAAATCGATATTTTCAGTATTTTTTTTTTCTTAAAACCGAAAATTCTTACTTTTTTCTTGCTTTGTTCCGATTCAAGATTCCCTTTCTTATGTAATAATAACGATTATATTATGCCACACACATTGTACTTTGAATGCTACAAGAACCAATATTGAAAATGTACCAACACATTTTTATTAATTGGACTCTCAATAGAATTAAAATTTGAAATCGGGAACTGCAACATTCAATGTGTAAGCGTGTAATTTAAAAAAAAATGTGTTTATTGCTTGAAATGCATCAAATCTCTCTTAATCTTCACATAAAATGAACAATTCAATCCATTGCAATAAATCACTTTGTTTTCAATTTTTTTTCTTCAAACGAAAATAAAGCTAACTGAATCGTTAAAGCTAACAAGAAGATTTGTTACTTAAGACCACAAGATTTTTATTGATTTCTAATACAATGTAAGATACTCCGAGTAAAGGACAAAAGAAAAAGTACTTAAGATAAACTACAAAACAAAAACTATAAATATATTTGCAGAGGCAATTGAAACTGGTTGCATTCATTAAAAAAATGAACATAATAATATGTAAGCGAATGAAATAAATAGAATTTCATAACTATGCGTTGATTCTGAACCAATGTAGGTGCGAATGAGAGTTGTATTGGTTAGATTGAAAAAAAAAACACATAGAAGCAACCAAAAATCTCAATCAATGAATTGTTGTCCAACACAAACAAAATTATTCAAATCGTTTCTGCACTTTATTTTATTACCAATTGATGTGTATAAAATGTACAGGATCACTTGCAGTAATATTGATTCGACGTGCATAATTTATTTTGCATGAATCATGGATTAAAAGAAGAAAAAAACCAGTCGAAAAACTCATACAAATCGTACTAAATATTACCAAACTCAAGTGTCAATTGAGATTTCTTAGAGAGCAACTTGAACGAAATGAAAACAAAAAAGAACAAAACAAAAAAAACTACACTTCAATCAGATTTATTCAAGGAAATATAAAAGAAAATGTATCTAACGCAATCGGAAACGCTTACTCATAAAAAATAACCATTGATTTTTGCCACCGACAAAAACATAAACTCTGCGACTTTTTTTTACGACAAATTTATAGTTTGCGACGTTATAAATGCAAATACACTAGCAAATACATTCATTTTCCGTTTTAGCTCAGTAAAATCTCGACTTAAATAAGACCATTAAGAGAAACCAATAACAACAACAACAACAAAATCAAGGGAACAAGATGAAGAAAACGAAAAAAATGCTCGTTTGATGATGATGGAAAGTGTTATTTTCAATTAAATCGACTCACGAAATTTGAAGAAAAAAAAAACAGACAATATATTGTGCTGACTGATTAGCGAGTCAGTTGACACAAAATTAGCCAGCTTATTGGGACATTTCGATGGTATGACAAACGCAATGTCTCTCTGAGTTTCTCTGTTAATGTAGAATTCTATTTTAGTATTTTATATGTCTGCCTCTCTGTCTCTCAAAGAGACAAATTGTTGTCGCAAAACAACCGAAATGTCCCAAGTAGCTGAATACTTCGTCAGGCCAATCAGCTCAATATATTGGTCTCCAAAAAAAACGTCGAAAAAAATACTGTTTTCAAATTGTTCAACTGACCATGGTCGAAAAAGCTTTTAAATTGTTCATTCAAACTTTGACCTAGTGTTCGAATATATCAGTTATCTTCAATTTTGTCAGAGCAATAAAGAATGTTTAAATAAAAACAAAAGTAATTAATTTGATAGCATGTATGAGCTTAGTTAAGTAAGTGGTTAAAAACAAAATTATTTACAATAAATATAAAACACCTACACACCGAGCACACACAATGAAAAACATAAACGAACAAATATTCGATTCGAGAAGAAATCTTGAAAAAAAAATCGTTTGCGGTGAGCTTCTTCTTTGTTTTTATCTTCAATTCATTTTAATACATTCACACAGATGATTATGAGGTTTTCATTCAAATCAATTGATAGTAAATTTTTTAACTTTCAATTTCTCCACACGTCTATCAACTGCCCATATAATTCATTTGCGGAGTAATTTTGACGGTGGCGGGACTGTGCGGAGTTTGGCGGAGATGACATACAAACTCTGTGTGTACGAGGGTAACAGCACTTCTATGTGTATCATTCTTATGCAGATGATTAGTAACTTAGCTGTGGCTACTAAGATGTTCGATTGGACAAAATAAATCTATGAACAGCAAAGAATGCTGTTGCACTGGCACACACAGCATTTGCATGCTATCTCCGCCGAACTCCGCACATTCCCGTCATCGACAAAATTACTCCGCAAATGAGTTATATGGGTGTGCATGAGAGTTTTCAAAATGTAATTTCATGTTGTGAGTTCCATTTCGTTGATGTACCAATTTGTTTTCGTGTGAACAACACCATAAGCTTCAGATGATTTGAGTGAAAACCTGAATGAAGGTTTGCATATTCAAAAAGTTTTCCTCATAATGGCAAAGATTAAATATATTATTATCACCAATTCCACTGAATTGATTCCTTTATTTTCAATCCATTCCATACCTCCTTAAGTTGAAACCATTGATAACAATTTTAATTCGTATATTAATTTAGTTTTATATCCTTCTTTATTTAGGTTTATTCCACTTAGTTGATATTTTTTGCCATTCGATGATGGCTCTTATTGTAACCCGTATGTTAGATTGTATATAACAAGCCTTCAGAACCAAAAATAACAATTGTTTTTAATTTTCCAACTTCGTCTTTTTTAACTTAAAAAAATCATGGAAATGTATTCCGTTCAGAATGAATGAGCCATGAAAATGTAAAAAAAAAGTTCGTCTTTTTGTAAATTTTCCATGTAATAAATGTTAAATTGTTTGTAATAAGAAAAAAAAACAACAAAAATAATTTTTGATCGTAGTGCGGGAAGTCATTTTTGAATATACAAACCTTGACAGCATACTTATAAACCATGATTTAAATATAGGAGAAATTGTATGTAAAATTGAACATAAAATATATCCATTGAAAATCAGCTCAGCTAAGATTGTGATTAAACCAAAACGAAATAAAGCAAACACAAGATATTTAATATATGTATGTATTAAATAAAACAGCGACAGATATGTGACTGTCGATGTGTAAGTAAACATTTTGTCCAATTTATGTGAAAATGTATCGATCTTCAGATTAAATAATAATTCTCACACAGAGACATCGTTGAAATAAAAAAAATCACAGCGATTAAATAGAGAAGAGTGATACAATTTCAAATTGAACGATTTTATTGTTTTATCATAGGAAAACGTCTTTTTTTCTCCCATTTTCATCATGTAATCACACACATTGAACTCTTGTGGACATTTTCAAGCTGAATATTCTAAACAATTTACGACAGAGCGATAGAAAGAGAATGATGGCGATGGCGTTGGAGTTGGCCAAATAAGCGTATAGTAATTCTAAGAGGAAAAACAATGAGAGATGCAAATCGAAAGTTGAATGTTTCGATAAATTAGTTTGAATAAATGGAACGACTGCATTTCATTAAATATTTGATTCGCACGAAGAAAAAAAAAATCACATTCAATAAAAATCGGCATCAATTTTAAAACGTCAGTTTCAACATTTTATTCGAATGTAAATAAGAAATAAATCCAATCAAACGCTTGTTTAAAAGACAGGTAACTTGATGTAGAAATGAAGTACGAAAATGAACGAATAAAATAGAGAAAGCAATCAACACCCCCTCCCCCCTTTTTTTCAAGGAGCATCTGATACATTAGTAAAGAGATCATTGAATATTTCTTTCTTCTAGTTAGTAATTTCTTTTTTTCGAATAAGTTTCATTCTTTATTATCAATGGACAAAAAAAATCTAAAATAACATTTCATCATGAACAAAAAGGAAAAAGTTTCACAAGAAAAAATTAGAAGAATCGTTGAAGGAACAAAGAGAGAAAGAGATTTATTTGTAATATTACGCTTTAGATTTTGATTAAATTAGAACTAATTAGATCTAAAAAAATGTTTTTATTCGCCTCACGTTCACGAACTACAAATTCCTAAATTTACGTAAAAAAAAAACAAAACAAATTTAAGCAAAAATGAAATATGTATCATCAGTCATATTATGAATGTTGTAACGACGAACATTTTTTTCGAACACTTAATAAACTATGAATTGTATTATAGGACTTAATATGTGTGCATTTTTCTTACTAAATAGAATTTTCAATATCGGCCGGAGTACGCAGCCAATAGACATTATAACGTGTGCGCGATGGTAAGTGAAAATCGATAAAAGAATGAGAAAATAATGAAAGTGCGTTCAAATGTATACATAACACAATTCTAATGTCAAAATGCGAAAAAATTGATTTTAGATAAGTAAATTACGAAAGCACTGAAAATGAATGTTGAACATAACGTTATGTATTGACGCTATAGCGGTTTTATAAAAATCGGTTTGTATAAAAATCGCTATAGCGGTGGTTTTATACATCGTGTGCGAATGTGTATTTGCCCTGATGTTCGTTTTCTTTTACAATTTTTTTGTTTCCTTTGAAATTTTACACACTCGAAATCATTTGCGGGAACTCGGCAAGTGGTTATCACGATTCTATAAATGCGACAAGAATAAAAAAAATAATATCGGGTACTAATCATATATGGAGCAGTTTCACAGACTTTACGAGATAAGCATTCAGATGTTGTTTGACGCTCTATTATAATCATTACACGAGCCATCACGTAATCGATGTCAACTTCTTGCATTTGTCACTACGTTCTTCAAAATAATGACAGGGCACATATAACTTGCATTGATCTGCCCTGCCTCGCATTTGTCGGCTTTTTTCTTGTTTTTTTTAATGTTATTTTGGGTGCTTTTCTTTGGCTCGATGTTGCCGCACACAGTCGCAAACATTTACATACGCTTCATGACGCTTGCAATCTAGAAATGTAAAATAGCTTTGGATCAAACGGTTTTGATAGCAATTGCGACTCATGCAATTTTGATAGATCTGATAAGCATGTTTGTGGCATTTTTTCACAACTTTAAATACATTTCACCAAAATTCGTGTACTAAGCTGTTTCACTTTTATTGTGTTGTGTTCGTATTGTGTCTTCGCCTTTTCTTCACATTGTACTTGTTTGGCTGCTGATGTTGTATGTATGCATATGTGTCTGTGTGAGTGTTGTTATTTTTTTACGACTGCTGCACTTTATTGCGACTCATTTTATGTTTCCGTTTTGCAGTGTAATTGTCTTCGATCTCTTGTAATGATTTATTTTTTGTCTCCGGCAAAAATGCCATTAAGAAGATGGTCCCAATCGACGTCACAATGCCATAAAAGCAGAACATTTTGCTGCCACCGTAAATATTAAAATAGATCGGACTGGTTTTAACAACAATGAAAAAGCATAGAAAATTGAAAAATGTCACTAACGCCGAACCAATCGCACGAAATCGTAACGGAAACAATTCCCCCGTTAAGCACCATGGCAACGGATTGATGCCAATCGATAACACCAATGTATAGATTACAAAGAGCACTAATGGCACACTTGCATGATTCTTCAACGAATTCTCGGCGGACAAATTCAAGTAAAATGATAAACCGAAGAGGCAAAACGCTGTCGATCCACCACTCCACAGTGTTAATGTACGTCTTCCCATATTTTTGACAGCAATGCATGCGATGAGTGATGCGACCAATCGCACAACATCAATAACCATTGTGGCAATATATTCATTAATATTTGCGCCTAATGATTCACGAAGTATGGTAACTGTGTAAAATATGACCGCATTTACACCGGAGAATTGAAGCGTCAAAAAGTAAATCGATAGAAGTAGCACGGGAAAATTAAATGACTTATTTGCTATCAGCTGACGCAAATGATCAATCGAACGTTGATGACATTGATGAGGTTGATTATGAACGATGCCGGATTCATTGTTCTTATCATTTACTTGTGATGTGGATATTTCGATTTGAGCATCGACCATTGATTCAAATTCCTTGTTAGCAATTTCATCGTATCCGCGTAACCACCGATAATTATGATATGCGTCATGGATTCGATTCTTTTTTAATAAATATGACGGGCTCTCTGCCACAAATGTTGTCACAATATATGCAAAAAACGGTAAGAAACCACAACAAATCGCATTCACACTCCATGGACAGTATATTGCAAGAGAATGTGTCAAAAGTATTCCCAATGCTACATCGAATGTGATTGATGCCAAAAAAAATCCACGATAATTTGGTGATGAAATTTCGCTCAAATACATTGGTGCTGTGGGACTAGCGATGCCGGCACAAAAACCAGTTAAAATTCGACCAATGAACAGCAAACACATCGAGTCACTCATCGAAATGATGCACCATCCAATGACAAACGGCACATTTAGTATAAGCAGTGTCGTTTTACGTCCAAAGCGATCTAATAAAAATACAGCAATTAAACAGCCCAGCGCCATTGGCAATAAAGCGATCGATGCTAAAACAGAAGGTAAACATTTCAATTAGTACGATGGATAGCGTCTTGCACATAATTGATTATACACAATTTCATTTGGATATTTACCAATCCATGAAGCTATCTCAAGATCAACATGAATACGACTATCCGGCATTTGTAGTTCTGGTATCAGTATGGCTGAAAATCCAATTACCATACCAACTGAGATTGTTGTAGCTGTTGGGCCCGTTGCGGCAATTATCTGGCATTTTTAATGAAAATACAAAAAAAAACATGAAAAACAATGCAACAAATTAAAAAAAAAGAAGAAATGCATATGGCATAAGTTGATTTTCAAACACACAGAAAAAACATCTCACTAACCTGTCTGCAGAGCGGAGAATAACGGCTTTTTGTAATATCACTTTCTTCAACAAGTTTCATTTCGCCAACATTTGTTGTTTCGCCCATTTCACCGTTGATTTGTTCAATTGCCATTCTTTTCTTTTATTTAATTCAGTCTCGAACGATGTTATTTGAATTTTTTATATGTTCGACAACGCATTAAAAATTCCAAAAACTTTTCAAATTTATTCGAATATCTTTTTTTTTGGTGAATTGTTTAAGCAAAGTCTTGAAATCACTCAAAAACACTTAACATTCATTTATAATGTTATAAACAAACTGATGACAAGAAATGTGTCACGTTACAAAACTAAATTGTGTACGTTTATCGTGCAACCATTACACAAAAACTATTTGCGTTTTAAGTATCGTTAGCAACTCAGTAAAATGCCACGGAAACCGATGTTACGATAGAAACGTGTAAACTTGATTTAGTCACTCTTCGGAATTCATAGCCAGATATTTGTGCAGACGCGCAAAATTGTCCAATTTTTTCCGTCTCTCTCTCTCTTTGTCATTCTTTGTTTATTTACTCTTATTCGTGTGGCATTGGTGGGCTGTAATTTTGTACACCGTAGAGTCAAGTCACGACATAAAGACGATGATTTCAATCGACTCTTTAATGGTCAACGATAACAAAACTGGAGAATTTATGATAAGTTTTTATCTTTTGTTATGTGCATGTACTATGCCATCTGGGCTGGACTTGGTAGACCCTTGGACTGTCTTTTTATAGATCATTTTTGAATAGTTTGTTTAATATCTATAATTTTGTTGCTAAAACTATGGTGACTACGTTTCCACGACAAAATTTCGATAACTATCCCTAAAGACCAACTGGATTTTATTTCAAAGATATAATTTTCGAATGGGTGACTGTAAATGGCTGAATTTGATTAGGAATTTGCAATTTTGGAGTTGAACATTTTGAAAACTATGAACTCGATAAAAAATAATTAACAAAGGTGTGCTGAACACACCTAATTGCAAGGGGCAATCGACTCATTGTAAATTATATGTTTCTTCGTCTCTCTTGACTCTTGTGAAAACAAGTAATTTTACCTAGGTTTTCATGAATTATTACCAATTATTATTTTTTATTTACATTGTTTATACTTGCAACGTTGAGAATAAGTCGAAAATGCCAATGAATTGTCAGATAGTCAAACATAAATTTAATAAAGGTTAGTCATGACGAATTGAATAGAAAATTGTTTGTATATATAAGAAAAAGCTAGTTTTTAAATTAGAATCACAAATGCATCTTCTAAATAACAAGTCGAATTCGTAAATTAATGTACTAAATTATCCAAATAAAAACATTTTAACCATGAAGCATGATGTATTTTTATCAAAAGGTTCAATATTTAAATTCAAGATTAGTCACAAAAACGACCAATCAATTTCAAAAAAATTCTGGACTTCGCCGAAAATTTAACTTTTAGAGCGGTGAAAACATGTTTTTCACTTTGAATTTTTCTTAAAAAACTGTTGAATTTAAACGCAAAACTATGTGAAATAACATTCTTCTAAATTATTTTATCACCAGGAATAGTGGCCCCTAGCCAAATTGATTAATATTGCGTTTCGAACCGGTTCGCAAGTGTGCAGTTCGAATTTTGTTTAAACTAAATGGAATATTCTATTCAAATGTGTGTTGATTACAGGCGCCATCTTTTGATGTGCCTTTAAGAATAGACCGCAAGCTTGAGAACGGACTTTTATTGGTTTGTGCCACGAATCATGTTACCAATTCAAATAAATTTGCCAAATGTTGAAAAGATTTCGCTAAAATTAAAGTTAAAAAAAAAAAACAGATTTAATTCCTATGGCATTTATTCAACATGTTTTTATCACATTTTTTTTTATTTTATAGAAAATATCGTTTAATTAATAAATTGCTGTGACTTCAATAGGTTTCAGTGGAAAAATTCGATTTTTTTTTCACGCCAAACTAATTGTTTTGGAAATCGATTCGTTTTTCGTTTTCAATGTGTAGCCGTGATACTAGGTGCAATTTTAGGGCGGCAATGTTCTCCAATTTCGCACTACAAAGTCGACACAACACAATTCTGGGCAAATTGATCACACTGAAAAGTATAATTGTTAAAGGAATAAAAATAAAAATAAATGTGATGCAACTGAACTTACAATTTCGTTAAATCGTGCAGTTGTTTGCAATGAATGCGTTTAAAATCAAGATCGGTATCGTAATTACTGCGTGTTCTAAGTGCATTATGCATTGGATAAATTGCCCGATATCCGTAAATATCGTTCGCATGTGATTTAACAAAATCGGGTGATTTTGAGAAGTTCGCGTCCCATTGGAAATCCTCAGTTTCGGTGGTAATGTTTTTACGTGGTCGTTCCAATAATCTGTCAAGTGGAATGGATGAATTAAATGGATGAATTTTAAAAGAAAATATGTTGGTATCCCGTGTGCAATGGCAAAATACGTACTCAACAATGACAGTTTTGATTTTCATCAAAATTTCACGTTTCGTCGATTCATTCAATTTATTGGTTTCATCTTGTCCAGGATAAGTCAACAACAATGTGTCCAAACAATATCGAATTTGATTCACCTGTGCAACAAAACCAAAGAATCAATATGGAGATAAAAATGTGAATGTTTTTGATATGCCTACCAATTCGATGTCATGTTGTGTGATTTCAACATTTAAATTGAAAACCATATCGTGCTCTTGGAATAATGATCGATTATTGTGGCTATCGTAACCTAAACCAGTTCGGAGTGCAGTGTAGTGTGTTTTCTCGTTATTGCACTTGACATGCATTGTTGGACAGAAAATCAATGCCATCAATGGACCAAAACCGCGAATGTTCGGCATTTGTGTTGTGTAACGAATGTTTAAATTTTTTTTATTTGAATCGGTATAACAAATTGTAGCTGCCACCATATATTTTTCGGTCATATCCTAACATTTGAATACACGAACTTAAATTATAGTTTATTGCATGAAGTAGCAATCGATTTCAATAGCTCACCTGTGGATCATTCTCCAACATCACTGAATTAATCGAATATTTGTCAATTGAAATTTTGGAATTTCGAGTTGATTCGGTTAAACCAGACGGTTCAATTGACAATGTACTGAATGGTCCCTTGAGTTTTTGTCGTTTTTTACACATATGATGTGGTGGCGGATCAATTTCAATAATATTTTCTTCTTTGATATATTCTTGGCACATTGGATCAATGTAATTGCATACATTTTTTTCACTTGACATTTGACGATCCAATTGGGTTTTTCGTAATACATGATTGTAACTCGAAATGTAATCTTCTTCCACGAATTCACCATATTGCTGTTGAATCAATATGTCGTTGAGCTGTTCTTCGGCATTTATGAAAACAAACACATTTGCTTTTCCATTAGCCACAGAATACACCTGTTATTGATCATAATTAGTTTTTTTTCATTCATGAATTTATCTGAATGTGTTTGATTTTAAATATAGAGTTTACCTCGATTTTAACCGTCTTCGAATCAGTTTTTGATTTGAATAGAGTGATTGCTTCAGTAGGCCAGTCTCCATTTGGATATCGGATTTGTGATGGTTGTATTTGTGCCAAGCTACATTCAAAGCAACGTGGCGGAAGGTCTATAAATTCTCTTTGATCGCCACAATACTTGTATACGCAATCCATTTTGCATTCCAGAATTTTACCCGTGTCAATCATACGAACCTAGGATTAAATATTTAATAAAAACTTTTTTCTACTTTCAAAATGCAATTAAACGTAAAAAATATTGTTGAGCAACGTACCCGACACACATTGGCCACGTCATTGGCTAGCATAATGTTTGCACGATGGTATGAAGTACCTTTGCAACCGTCTACTGAAACAATAACCATGTCATTTCCAAAAAATGATTTCCCATCACACGGTATTCGCTGAATAACTTTATGGCGATTATGTTGCACATATGTTTCGAATTTCAAAACTCTGTTGAATTCCTCTTCTGTCTGGAACCAAAATCGATTACACGATTCAATCTGAAAAATTATCGAATTGAAATGAGAAAAATAATGTGATGTTCTCTCTCTCTCTCTCTCTCTCTCTCCAAACAATCATACATACATGTGTAATAAAACCAATCATCGCAACATCCAATAGTCTTGGAAAACAAAATTCTTCGGCAAATGTGTCAAGGTCTATGCCATTTGATGTTGTGAGAAAATGTCCATCTGGTGTAATAGGAATGCCATTTTCTCTTACATAATCCATTTCATCTGTGAATGACTTCATCGTCGAAATTGTCGATTGAATATGTAATTCTTTCATTTTAATTGCTTTATATACTTCGGTCACAAGTTTGCCGGGCATTAATTCGTTGCCATTTTCATAGATATGATCGTCTTCATCATTTCGAAATGTGACAAATGTTTTATTCGATCCGATATCAAAATTCACTTGGATAAACTTTTCATTTGGTACAATGCCATTTTCGATGAAATTTTTTTTGATCGATTTTGTGTACAAACATCGAATATGCTGTCTATCGAAGCCTGTAAAATAAACGGTATTTCTCGGATCACGTGTTCCAATGCAACGAAATGCATTGTCCGCATAATCATCGATGTTGCGTGAGTTGCGTGCAAAATAATTTGGATAAAAACCGCCAGCAATGACCACTTTTAAAATGATTGCTCTTTCATTATCATTCCATTGAACATAATTTGAACCAACGCCCGATTTAATGTTCAAACCATCCAATCGCATTCTTATTTCGTTCACTTGTACATGGCATTCGTGCAATGCATCGATGTCAAGACAGAATTTCTCAGCCCAAGCACGTTCGGCCCGTTTCATATTTTCACGTCCTGTACGCGTTGTTTTTTCACCAAAAATACCGTTATTGTGTGCATGTGACCATGAATGATAGGCATGCAACAATGCAATTAGATCACTGCCCGACGAATTGGCCCAACGAAGTTGCTCCGAATATAATCTCATGTTATCCTTTACGTCGAAACTATTTCGAAAAATGCTTCTTGAATTTAATGCCGCACCTAGTGTGAAAAATTATCAAAATGTGCGTCGTAAAAAAATACATCAATGCTTTATACCTATGATAATACATTCGTCGAGCATACTGAAGCAATAGCCAAGAATAATAAATTTTGCTATTTTCACATCAATCGGCAAATTAGCCATAATTCGGCCAATGAATGAAATATCACCATCCATATTTTCGACTGTTCCGTTGACCGTTTTCAATAAGGCACCGATTTCCTTCAACACCAATATCGTATTGGCAATATCATTTAATTGCGGACGATCTAAAGCTAATGCCAGAATCGATGCCGGCGGACCCATATTCAACAGTTTCGCTTTCAATATCACATTTTCCAATGGGCTGCTCACCAATTCGGGAATACCATTTTCTTTCATCGTACTCTATTCAACGTTATGCGAATAAAAGAAATAGAAATATAAAAATCTATTAAAACTGATGATTTGTTGATGCTTACATAATAGAATTGTTTTTCAACAAATCGATAGCATCTGCCATTCATGACACGACCAGTTCGGCCAGCACGTTGTTTACAACTGCTACGTGCCGCCCAAGTCAGTTGTAATGCTGAAAAGTTTGTTTCTGTATCGGTCATCAGTACTCGTGTTCGGCAAAAGTCCAGCACTAAAATGTAACATTTTCAAATTGAATAATGACAGATCGTCAACAGGGAAGAAATTATTATTTCTTTTTCATTGTGAAAAAAAGATTAAATTACCGTATTTTACATCTGGTACAGTTATCGAACTTTCAGCGATATTTGTTGCCAAAATTACTTTGCGTGTATTCGATGCCGCCTTGCGAAAGGCTAAACTTCTTTGATTCGAATCTGACATCGAATGAAGAACAATGGTTTCAATTCGTGTTCGCTTCATGTTCCTAGAATTATCATTTTTAAATGAAAACAAAAAATGCATATAATGAATTTCAATAGTTTTAAATCTTACACGCCGTTCCAATGGTCTCTCAAAACAGTGTCCATTTGTGCGATTTCATGAATACCAGGTAAAAATATCAAAACTGTTGGCCGTTCATTGTTTTGGTCATCATCGGCATCCAATTCACTGTTATCGATGTTATCAAAATGATTGATTAAATACAAAGCAATTTTGTACAAATCAGACGAAATGATGGGCTGTGTCTTATCCATGTTTGCGTAATCCTAAAACGAAGTGAAAACAATGATTACACCTAAACTCAGTGACAAATCAATGAAGAATGAAAAAAAAAATCGAAAATTACGAATTTTGGTGCAACTTTGTAGAATTCTTCCAGATAGAATTCTCTGATTTGATATTTCGATTTTTGATCAATGCTTATTATAGGTGCCGGAGACATGAAGCCACGTTTTGGAAATGTAAAATATTCGGAAAACTATACGAAAAATAGAGAAAATTAACTTTTTAGAAGCAAATATTCGTATCAATTGACATTCAATCTTACTCGACTCGCTTCAATCGTGGCTGACATAATAATAATTTTAACTTTTGGTTTTGGTACTGCGTTCACAAATAACTTTTTCAATATGACAAACAGAAAGTCCATGTCTTTGTTTCGTTCATGCACTTCATCCAAAATGATGTGCGTATAGTTATGAAAATTTTTTGCGCGTATCAATTTTTCCAGTAAAATGCCGGTCGTGCAAAATAATATGCGTGTGTCCTTGCTGAGATTTTTCTTTTCATCGAAACCAATTTGATAGCCAATGACAGTGCTCACTTGCCAATTTCGTTCTTTGGCCACACGCTCTGCATTGCTTACGGCCGCAATTCGTCTCGGTTGTGCAATGACAATATTACAGTATTGCTTTCGACTGTAGGCTTCATCAATAATAAATTGAGGTACTTGTGTTGTCTTGCCACATGCCGTCGGTCCTTTAGACATAAAGAGAACGAAAGCATACAAGTATTAATGGTACATTTGTTCATATTTCGTTTGGATGCGAATACAAACCTTCCAATACAACAAAAGGACTCTCGTCGATTGCACTCAAAATGGCGTTTCGATAATGAGTTATGGGATATGTTGATGTTGATCGCTTAAAATTGTACGTGGAATAAATGTGATCCATATTATCATTGTTTTCATCGTCCGAACTGTTGTTGTTGTGATGAGTGTCATCGAATCGCTAAGATTTTATTTTTATGTTAGTAAAACATTTGTTTATTCAAAGAAAAGAACATAATTACATTCATCATTTGTTGCATATTTTCTGCGACATGCTTTTCTGCATATTGTTCTGTTGCTAAATCATCTCTTTTATTACTGGATGTACATGATGTACTCGGTTGATCGAATTTCAAACGACCACTGGTCGTTCCACCAGAGATGGTTTTTCTCACCAATGGCTTATTTAAATCGAAAAAGTTAAGAATATCATCCATTTTTGTCCTTCTTAACTTAAAATAAATTCGAAACTATTGGATTTTATGTACGTGTTGATATTGTAAATAACAATACACAACTGAATTTGACAGATGAAAAAATGACAACTTAGATTGACACATGTTCCCTATCGGAAGCCCATTTCGGAGCACAAAAATCAAATTTCTCATTTGCACCATGAATCGTTATTTGATGAAGTCATTTACGAATTAAAAATAAATACGGAGATTTTCGTTTTGCAAAACCATTACCAAAATTATAAATTTGTTGCATTGGACATTCAATTGTATGTCGTTTTAATTTTTTTAATGTTGTTTAATTTGAGAAATATTTGAAATAGGAATAACGAAAAACCAGGGAAATTTGACGGTTAAATTAACGAGTATGTATTGTTTCTCACACACAACAGCTACTCTTCTCTCTACTTTATGCTCCTCGAAATCGATGACAACTAATAAAATGAATTCAATTATTTCAAGTATTGTTTTAATATTTTAACTGAGGATTTTTTCCCCCAATTATTCAGGATATGAATTGAATTCTTTTAGAGTTTTAATTTAGAAAAAAAAAAATCAAAAAGGACAGTGAAAAACGAAAATCAATGAGTAATAAAAATATAAAGTATATAAGTCTTATTCTTTAAGGCGGCCTCAATAAATAATTTCTACATCTTGACAAATGCACTTCACATTTCCCCAGAAATGTTTGTGGTAAAATATTGGCAACGTTTCAGCTGCATTTTTCCTCATAAAAACGCATTTTTATTCAATTCGAATCGAATACGCAATGTGTGTGTGCCGAAGCCAACGCCAAAAAAAATGTTTATTCAATGTGATGAGTATGGTACAATTTTTGTCATGGCTTCTAAAATTGGCAATCGGAGAAAGAGCGGGGAAGGTTAATCTCAAAGATTTTCGAAAGATCCAGAAGGATCTGATGACTTCGTACAAAGATTTCCGTTCGTATTTAATTCGTTTAACAAAGAAATTTGAACGGAAAACAACCTGATGCATTGATGCGAAAATCCAATCCTCTTTCAGACAAAGTAAAGTATCAAAACTAATAATCATATCGCATTTTGAAATAAAAGTCTGTGAAAGGTTAAATAGCCGAATATTTATACGACTGAAAATGTACTTGCAAATATACATCATGCAATGATTGTTGTCATATTGTTTCGATTTGATGTGCTCATTTGTCCACGTCGTTAAATTCTCTGCATATACGGAAAATATATAGTAATATAGTTATATACATATATATATTGTAACACAAAAATGAACGTGTTGAAAGCCGCGCCCTGGACTATAACCTATATGTGCGTGTTAGTTTTTGCTGAAAATTCGAATTGTCGAAAATGTTCTCCGACTTATATAACCCGATTAAATACTAAGTTATGCCCTTATTTATTTGTTATGGCGCGCAGAGCGCACACACAATACACAGTTTTATCCGTTTTGGAGAACGCTTGCTGGCATCCCGAAATTTAAGCATGAAAGACAAAAAAAAATGTACGGTGTGCACCAAAACATTGCACACATTGCATCTATTGTACAGGATTTGAGTTGAGCAAACCTACTTTCAGAGACCGGCGATTCTCAACAAGAACGAACACAGCAAAATCAAAAAAAATAACAAATGAAGAAGAAGAAAAAAGTATGAAGAAGTTTTGTTTCCGGCAATTGCTTTACGACGAAAGTCATAAAAAAGCGGACAATTCATTCGAGAAAACAGTAAAAGAAAACTTTTCGCAAAAGATTTTTACACAATTGCTACATTGTCGCACTGTTGAATATCATTTTGGTCTTTAGTTTGCATGACATTTTGAAAATACATTATCTGACTTTGGTGGATACATGTAGCGCGACAACGATTCCTTTCGGATGAACACGCACGTGTTTTGAGGTCACAAATGCACATTTTCCTATGTGATCCATTAAAATGTGAAAGTAAGCACATAACAAACAAAAAAATGTTGCGTTGCTCTTCATCTTTTCTCTCTGCAAATTCAAAATGTCAAGATGTAGGTTGTGAATAAACAGCATTTAATTGATTAAACAAATATTCTGGATGAAATTCGATCGAACATATTTTCAATCGGCACACGAAAAAAGAAAAGACGAACAAAACATACGAAACAATAGACAACGTGATTATATTTTTTTATTCAATCACATTCTCAACATTGAGACGCTTCATTCAAAATCAACGATCTGAATTTATCGTTTGTTTTCTAGTACCAATGCAGATGACATTTCCGATGTACGATTGTGCGCGTTTTCTATCACAAATTTTCCATTTCATAAAGCAAAAAAAAAAAATGTGTGTGGAAAAACGAAGAAGAAGAAGAAAAAGGAATAGCCAAAGCGAGAGATTTCTCTCATTCACAACGCCTAGCATCGAGTAGCCTGCCATGCATGTATTTGTGCAACTGTGAGCATTTTGCAAGAGTATAACAGTGACACAGAAAAAAAAATAGTCATGCACCACATTCCATGGCAGACACCATACAATGTGTATACTCAGTGCTTGGCATCCCTCGTGCGTTTGGCCGTTGCAAAAATATACAGTGTGCGATTTTACTGCTGCTGCCTGCTACTGCTGAATTTAAATGTGTTAGCTATAAAGCACCGAGTCGAAGTATATGAATTGGATGAATGCCGTAGTATCCTTTTTCGTTCGTTTTTCCGTAGCCGTAATTCTTCAGCTATATAGCATTCAAGTCATTCTTATTGTGACTGTTAAAGAAGTCACATGTCTACCATTGCACACGTACATACATAGATATATGTATCAAAACATTTCGTAAAATCATTCACGTATATCGTCGATTTCGAGTTGTGTTTTATTAATTATTTTCGAATCTCCGGTAAACCATAAAATTGACGACAACACACACATACACTTATACGCATATAGTGAATACATCAGCAACTGAAACGGTTTGCTGCAGTTAATTGAAATATTTGAAAGACAGCACATAATTTCAAAAACCAGAAACCCCAATTCAATCCAAATTATTTTATTGTTTTGGTTTTTTTTGTTTTTTTTTGATTCAATGTGAAAAATTCTGTCAGTGAGTTTGTTCAATGTTGTTCACACAAAAAAAAATCATCATTAACTGATTCCAATTTTTTGCGTGAAAGTTTTGGCATCCAAGTGCAACGAAGCAAACATGAAGAACGGGAGAAATGAGATAGTGATTTTGTTCAAAGTAAATAGTTTTCCAAATTGAGATCCATTTCAATTTATTTTTGGATCCGCATTGACGCCTCAGTCGTCGCTTCATTTAAATCATTATTGAAAAGTTTTCAACAACTATTTAGCACATTTAATCTTTGCCAAAGCTCATGGATTATACATATATTTGATCTGTTAATAAATCTTAATCGTAAGTTTGAATAATGTTTATTTTATAAAACGAAACGTAATTTGTTTCACCAGCGAAATTTTGTGAAATTGAAAATGGTTTTTAATTAAAATAAACGATTCAATATATGCGATGTTAGCGTAAATGAAGTTTTGTTCACATTGCACATATACCTTTGTTGGCGTTTGTTAAATGGAATTCAACTTGAGAAATGAAATTTCTTGCTTTTGCCATCATTTTCTTTTTGCCATACATACACGCAGCCATCGTATGGAAACAATGACCATCTCAAGATATGCCATTATTTCCATTCTAAGTTTTTAAAACTCATCAAATCAATTGAATCAATTGTTTGGCAAATGGAGCTCAGCTGAGTGTATTTGATCATCATCCATCAAGAGTCATGCACTTGCATATCAAAGTGTGAGCTTGTGTGTGTGCGTTTTCTTCCAATGAAAACATGCACATTGCACGCTTATTCACAATTTTGTTCAGCTTTCATGCAACATTTTATCGCTATTTTGTGGCTTCATATCCTATAATTGAGTAGCTTTTCCATCTTTGAAATTTCATTTTTTTCAAGCACCGTCCTAATTGGAAAACAATGAAGAATGGAGTCAAATGAATGGCATATGTGTGTATGTGTGTGTGTACGTGCGTGCATCTATATGTATGCATTGGCCTCGATTGGAAAACGATGATTAAAAGTTTTCCAACAATCGCAAAACATACACTAGTTTTTTGCCAACAATATTTTTGAACCATTTTTTTTGTCTGTAAATATGTTCTATTTGCAACGCCTTTTTGCCTCTTTCATATGTTTCAAACCATTTTTAAAAAACAACAACAACCAAAATTCGCTCTCGCCTTTTGTCACCCTCCACTCAATAAGTTTTACAGATGAAACAACTTTTACCGTACTGTTAAACTTGTTAGTTTTTACCAGTTACCATACATACATATACTTTTGTTACACACAATTTTTCGAAATTATTTTGATTTAAATGAAAATATGCGGCCATGTATTCATAATCGATAAATCTAATGCAAAAGTTACAAAATTTGTTAGTCAAACGTATGTTTGATTTATCACAAAACAACAACAGCAGCAGCCGTACAGATTTGTATCATGCACTTTTCAAGTGCAGATGCTGCACAAAACCAGCACCAAATCAAATGATAATGCACAAGTGTAATACCATTTCTCAAATGGAGGAAGTAAAACCGACGACAATAAGAAAAGGACGAAAAGGAAAGTATCTGAGTGCACCTTAGTTACAAATTGCAAACGATGATATATTCACTTCGATTGTTATGCATAATTCAATTAACGTTTAAAGCGTTTAACTCTAGACGATTTCATTTTTGGCAGAAGAAATGTGTTCCAAAATGTGTGCCTTTTATTTCGAGCATAGGAACGACACTTAAAATGTGATATCAAGACCTGGATGTTATTGTCTTTGTTATCATGAGGATCGGTTTTCTGGTGAAATCTCATTATATCGCTGAGAAAACCATAAATGTCCATCAAAATGGTCGAATGGAGGTTTCGCAAGTTAAAAACCACAAGCACATACACAAACTCACAAACAATATTATAGCATATTGCCGAAGCAATTTTGCACGATGAGTATTTATGCGAAATGGTTTTTGATTCAAAATTCTCAAGAGATTCAAACGTTCAATTCGTAAAAA